GAAGTAAGCCAGGGGAGTACCCCTTTCTCCTTTGTTCTCCTGCCTTTTTGGCAGTCTCTGTTACAGTCTTTCCCCTCCAGCTGAGAAGCTGGAATGGGCTATTTTTAAAGCCTGACAAAGCCTGCCCATTAGCGGTAGCAGTTCAGACAGCATTTCTTCTCTTGGGCCAGAAAGGAAATTTGAAAGTCTCAGACCTAGAAATGTATGTAACACATTTTTATATCCAGGATTTATGTCGTCCCCATGAAATGTTGCCAATGCATGAGGTTAAGGACAATTGCAATGACTCTGTGAACCCGATCCACAACAATAACCAAAGGGGAGGGCATTAGTAAAATGTTCAGGAAGCAATCTAGGACCAAAGATCATCAAATCTTTCAATCCAGGTAGTAGCCAATTCATTGCCTGGAGGTATAAGATCTCTTCCCATAACAGGGAGAAAAATTAAAAAGGAAAGAGAAAAACCCCTATTCAATGCAGAGGTAATACTCAAGGATATTACCAAATGTCAAGCTCTCCTGTAAGTTATTAGAACATGGAAAGTGCTTAGTGGAGTACAAATGGTACATCAATAAGAAAGACCAACATGAAATAAAAGTAATAATAAAAAACAACCACAGCACATGTCTTGGGGTAACTGAGGGCAGCCTGGCATAGCTCAAAAAGCATGCATGCTCTCTGAAGTCTGACAGCTCAATTTACATCTCTCTGTGGCCACTTACTTCTTAGGATCTTCATTAAATTCCTTAACCGCTATATGAGTCAGTTTCCTCACTTGGAAAGTGAGGATAATAATTCCTACCTTGCAGGTTTGCTGTGAGGATTAGAGGTAATGGATGAGGTTCCTTCTTATCAGTGTATTTATTACCTGCAACCCTGCAGTCAGGAGATGGTGCAGGGAAGAATAACTCCTCATATCATGAAAACAATCACGAAAGAACTGATCTCATAACATTGATATCCACTCAAACATTGTCCTTACCTTAACACTAGCATCATTCTCGGTTTGTTTCAAATTATTTGATGATCTTCAGCTGATTATTTGAAGTTTACAATATCTTATGCAATTAGAGTGCTCATTGATAGTTTATTAATAATGCATATCTTAAAGTACAGAATTCCATGAATCACATAAAAATGCTGATGAAGTACTGGAGAGAGACATAGCATAGATTAGTGCAGATTCTACCTGTTTAAATACTAGATCCATAAGTGACTGAATGCATAACCTTGAACAAGTACGTTAACTTTTCTGTGCCTTAGTTTCCCCATCTATACAATGAAAATGATAATACTATTTACTGCAAGGCTTCTGTTGTGAGAATTGAATAAAGGAAATATTTGTAAAGTGCTTAGCATAATGCCTGGTAAGTCATAATAAATACATGAGTATTTACTAAGTAATCATTGTTAAAAAACAACAACACACACACAACCAAATAACTCCATAGCAAAGCCATTCAAAATGAAGTAGAATGATTCAAAACGGGAGAAAACCCAGAAGGCTCATGACAGCATCGAAACAAAAGCAGATAATGATTTGATGATCACAGAAGTTGAGAAGCATTTGCAAAAATGGATGAAGTGCAGGATTATTTTCCTATAAAAAAAAAAAAGTGGTCGTGTTTGTTACTGGGCGGCTCAAGTCGAAGATGAGTGTGTGGTAGCTGGCTTCCCAGATGGCCCCCAAGGAGCCCTACTTCCTGGTATTCACACCCCATGTCATCATCCCCACCTCCCATATTTTACCAGGGTGGGTCTGTGCAACCGAGAGTGGAAGGGATGTTATGTCACTTTCAAGATCAAGTTGTAGAAGACAAAACCTGCTTCCTTCTCATTCATCCCTTTGCCCATTCTGTCAGTCTTTCCGGTCTCTCACTCTGGGGAAGACACTTGACATCCCACAGCAGGTCTCTGGGGAATCCAGGTGGGGAGGGTCTGAGTGAGGCCTTCGTCCAAAAGCCTGAGAAGAACCAAGGACTCCTGCTAACAGCCATGCGAGCTTGGAATCGAACCCTCCAAGCCTGAGATACCTTCAAATGACTGCAGCCACTTCAGCAACTTGTCTGCAACCTCGTGACAGAGGCTGGGCCAGAGCCACCTGGCTAGGTTGCTACAACCTGCCCCACCAAAACTGTGTGAGATACTAAATGTTAGTATTTTGTGGCTACTGAGTTTGGGGTTATTTGTGATGCGGCGATATATTATTAATATAGGATTAATACAGGAGTGTGATATTTTGCAAACTTAAAGAAAAAAATTACACCTCCCATATAGATATAATTTATAGTGTTTGTTCTGAAAATTAGCAGATACTTGTGACTTCCACTTTTCAAGAGAAAAAGAAAACTTTTCAAACTTTAAAAAACTGTAATAAATAATTTTTATTCCCTGTTAACCTACAAAGACTTATATAATCTGTGTGCTTCTTACTTATCCCATCTTCTACTCTCTCCCTCTTTCTCTTCACTTCATGCACACTGACTTCCTTTTTACATTTCTGGAGCATGTCAGGCATGCTTTCACCTCAAGGCCTTTGTACTGATTATTCCTTCTTTCTTAGAAGTTTCTCTTCCCCAAATATCTGATTATTTCACTCTCACCTCCTTCAAGTCTCTGTTCAAATATCTCCTTCTCAGGGAGGTCTATCCGTAACACCTGATTTGAAGTTGCAACCCCAACCCTTCACACTCCTGATTCTTCTTATGAAATTGTATTGCCTCATAACACTCTACTAATTTTTCTGTGCATCCTTTTCACTGGATGCCAGTTCCATGAGGGTGGAAATTTTGTCTCTTTAATCATTCACGCACTAATGGATCCTCATTACATAGAATAATACCTGATGCTTAATAGGTGGTCAATAAGTATTTGTTGATGTGAGCTTAGGAAGTAAATTTCGTTCCATGGCTTTTTTACAGTTCCACTTACGCTTGGGTAAGGATGACTTCCTGTTACTAAATTTTCTGACTCAGTAGGTTGTCAATAAACAGTAGCTGTGATCTGAATGCAAACCTTTGTTGTTGTTTTGTGTGTGTGTGTGTGTGTGTGTGTGTGTGTGTGTAAGGGTATTAGCTTCAATGATTTATAAGTAATAGCTAGGTGCAAAAGACTACCGAGTTGACATGAACGGATCTGTGAACTTATTGTCTAAAGAAATCTTTATCACCATATATTCCAAGAGCAATATATCTCCTCAAACGTGCATGTAAAACAGCATCCAAGTCTTTACTTTTAATGCCCAGAACAAATGTACTTTATTCTTATTACCAATTTTGCATCAGAAAATAGCTTGACTCACTGTACCTAGATAAACATTAAAGACATAAATCAGATGATGGTTCTAAAAAGTTTGAGAGGGTCATGACATCAATTTTGAAGACTTCCAGGAGCCTTGTATAGAAAGGGTTATTATAGAAAGGCCCAATAGAGCCACCTTCATGGATCTGTGGCCTGAGCAGTCACACAGAAGAACCCTGTGCTTAGAAAGACCCAGCGCTTAGTTTATCACTCTACTGCTCCTGTCTTAAAATTCTTAATAATATATGAAGAAGGGGCTTCCATTTTCATTTTACACTCAGTATGCTAATTATGCAGCTGGTCCTGAGGTCCAGTAATATTAAACTGACTACATACTTTTCGAGGAAATAAGCAGAGATGCAATGACCAGAAAGGAATATAGAATTCCTTTGAGGTAGATACCCCAGCCCTCTTCCCAGTTCACCCTGAAGGAGGAAAAGTGGAGAAACAGTAGCAGGGAGTGGTGCACTGCTTGCCACTCAGTGTGTGGCCTGTGCTACCAGCAGCAGCCACAGCCCCGGGGAGCTTGTTAGAAAAGCAGAACCAGGATTCACTCCAGAACCATTTCCTGTGCAGAATTTGCATTTCCTGTGCACTCTATTTTTTACATTACTTCTTTTTAAAATTGTTACGTTTCAATTGCAGTTGACACTCACTATTCTTGTGTAATTGTTTTAGGTGCCTTGTGCACTTTAAATGTGAGAAACAGAGCGACTGTTTCAAGAGCCATCCAGGGCCTGTGACAATGGGCATTTGAAGTCACCTAGTCTCTTCAAAGGGGGTTCTCTCCCCTCCCACCGGAGCATCCTCAACCTGCACTGCTGCCAGGTGGGATGTTAACGGATTTGAACATTACTTTTGTCCTTTCTGTGGCCCATTCTCTAGGACTGGGTTCATAGGAAGTGAAAATGTTTAAAAAATAATATTAAAAACAAGAAGAAAGCATGAAAATGGGATATTCAGAATTAAGCTGAGCTGGTGGAAAGCAGTGTAACAACAATAAAATGGGGGTGGGTACCTTAAAAATAATATAAATAGCTAACACTGAGCACTTAAAATGTGCCAGGCATCATGCGGTGTGTTTTATGTGGGTTGCTTTATTTAAATTTCAGCACAAATTTAAGAGTTACTATCTCTATCTTTCTGTGCATCTGGAGAAACAAACTTTGAAAGTTTCGAAATGGCTGCACTATAATAAATCAAGAAATTAGGCACTATTTCCACAACCGTACATCCTTTGCAACATACGGTAAACAAACATCTGCTGAGTGAATAGCTCCGTGTAAATTCGCAAAGCATTTCAGAGTTAGTTTCTGAGCATGAGGGACCATTGCAGAAACAGCAGGATTAAGGTCAAGTTAAGGTCAACTACTGCCTGAATCTTTCCATTTGAGATCAAAGGAAGACAAGTAAAGGACTTCATTCTGGACGTGCAGGTCACCCCCGTTTGTATGTCCATGCCCTGTATGAAGAAGGACTCCCAGGCTTTTTTCGAACAGATGGAGATGAAGCCAGAAAGCACGTGGCCAAGGGTCTTATGCTTCTTCCCCCTAAAAGCAGGGTGAATCTCAACAGCTGGCAGCTCAGCGGCCTCGCAGGTACAGAGCCTGGGAACTGGGCGAGCGCCTTCAGGCTGCCTGACCGCACACCCCGCTGTGCTGCTCCCGCCCCCCAAGCCCTGGGGGGAGGAGCCGAGGAATCGAAAGGAAACCCTCGGGGCGGGTGGCGCCCGGGGCCTGGGCTCGGGCATGGAGCTGCGGGCGCTCTGGCTGCTCTGCTGGTGCGGGTGCTGGTGCTACGGCGGCGGCCACGGAGCCGGTCCCGGTGCCACCTTCACCCGGACGGGACCGCGGAGCCAAGAGCAGCAGGCAGCCGCCTTCCGGGTACCGAGCGCGCCCCCCTGTTTGTTTCTTTCTCGTCCTTTCCTGTCCTGAGTCTGGGCTGGGGCGCTGGGGCCTCCGAGCGCGGAAATTCCTGGGGATCCCCCTCGCCTGCCGGGATGCGCTGGAGTTTCTGACTTGGGGTTACACCCCCCAACTTCTCCCTGTGTCCCCCACGTGTCTGGCTCTCGCCCTGTCTCATGCCTTTGCTAACTCAAAGATTTGATTTTCCAAAGAAGTTTTGCCGCCGTGGATTTCTATGATCCGTCCCAAGTGATCAGTGGGTAGATCCGAAGCATTTTTCTTAGAAGCTCCCCTTTTAGCAGAACCCCCTGGCGGTGCTCACTGCCTCCCAAGCTGCCTCATTTCAGTTACAGGAACCACAGGCGTTAGAAACCTGCCAGCTTCTTCCGGAGGGGGGCGCTGGTCACTCCTCTGGGATCAGAATTGTCTAAAGCAGTGATTCTCAACCTTCCTAATGCAGCGAACCTTTACTACAGTTCCTCATGTTGTGGTGACCCCCAACCATAAAATTATTTGCGTTGCTACTTCATAACTGTAATTTTGCTACTGTTATGAGTTGTAATGTAAATATCTGATATGCAGGATGTATTTTCATTGAACATAATTAAAGCATAGTGATTAATCACAAAAACAATATGTAATTATATATGTGTTTTCCAATGGTCTTAGGCGACCCCTGTGAAAGGGTCATTCGACCCCCAAAGGGGTCAGGACCCACAGGTTGAGAACCGCTGGCTAAAGTGCCTGCATTGGGCAAGCTGGGAGAACCTTGTCCAGGTATGGTTTTCCTGAACTGGGGCTCTGTAGACTCGCGCACCACCTTATTAAAAGTTCACCTGACTTGGTGGAGACCGATGTAGAGAAAGGGAAAGCATTGATTTCTTTTTCAGGTTATTTTGAAAAGGCTTCATCAATAGGTTTAGGTTTTGCCCCAGCATTAAAACTCTGGAACAGACAGGTAGCTGAATATAAATAAGGTTGATTAGAGAGTTTTAAAACAAAATATTGATTGATGTCAAAACGACATGTTTTTCCTAGTTTGATAATCATAATTTCCTCAAGTTTTTTGGCCCTGGAACCTGGTATGTCTTATTGTCACTCATTCAATTAAACATTCAGTCAAAACAAAGGGGAAAAAACTTGTAAAGATAATTATTTTTCATCATGTCTGTTGAAAGGCTGTTTTGATTTATCAGTTCCCAGATTTCTAGTATGTGATCCATTTGTTGTTCAAACTTTTGCACCTTTCAAAACTGCTAATATGTTTCCTGTGTATTCTGCAAAACTTAGATGTCTTTTTTTATTTTTATCTAAGTGTTCTATGTTTGATTACAGTTGAAATTCAATATTATATTAGTTTCAGGTCTACAGCATAGTGGTTAGACATTTATATAACTCACGATAATTCCCGCACCCACCTGAACACCATATTGTTATTAGACTATTATTAACTATACTGTACTTTATTGTATTTACATCCTCATGACTATTTTGTAGCTGCAAGTTTGTACTTCTTCATCCCTTTGCCTTTTTCAGCTGGTTCCCCAACCTCCCTCTCATCTGGCAACCCAGGTGAACTAAACTGGAAGCACGGAAGAACTGCGCTTTCGGAACCATCCTCCTAGGATTTCTTGTTACCTATGCAAGACATTACTATTTGAACAAGTTCTGCTGATTTCAGCAGTGGTCAAACCTTTACATCTTTTCTTTTATAAATGAAATTAAGGTTCAAGTCCTTCATTTTAATATTTTATATATTTAAATATTTGGAGATATTTACTATACAGTTGATCACTGTTACATCCTCCATTCCTTATGTTAAAAAAATATGCTAATTGATCCTCTCCTATGCTGATTTCATGACAGGTTGCTAATAGGATGAGGAGTCGGAGCTCAATATAAACTCACATCTTGTGATGAAAGGAAGATTGGGGAAGTGCCCTAGACTGCTATCTAGGGTAGGAGAGGTCATAAGGAACTCATCAATCAAAAACCAGCTTTCAGCCGAGTGCCATGGTTCCCCAGATAGGCCAGTCTTACTGCTCCGTCATTGGCTAGGTGCAGCCTGTGGGAACCTTGTTCCTCCTGGGCCTCCTCCTGGCAATTCAGTGTCAGAAGATCCCCTATGGTTGGAGGTCTGCGAGGCCCATTCTCCTGGCTGCCATATGCTCTGTGTATCCTTAAAGTCCCACATTCTCAATGCCTTCTCTGGTTACTTCAGCTCACAAGGTTGGCCGATCAAGACTTGCAGAGAAAATGAACCCTCTGAGTTACTTGGCAGTAGCCAGCTCTGGCTTGTATTGGTTACTTGATGTCTATATAATTTCTTTGCATTCCAGTTCTATTCTTTGTATTTATACCTCTCCTCTCCAAATGATATTCAAAGCTCTGATTCATCAGGATTATTTTTGAATGCCTAAATCTCAATGACTGTTTATTACTAATTGATTAGCAATTCTTCCAGGCATGCTCAGAAAGGAAGAAATAAGATGATGAATATTTCCACAGATAATTTGCTTAAAAATAAACGCCTTAAAGCTATTAAGGACTTGATGTATATGAAATGTCCTTTATATATTTACTAGAGGCCTGGTGCACAAAATCCAAGCATGGGTAGGATCCCTAGGCCTGGCAGGCAATCAGGGCCGATTGGGGCCTTCCTTCCTTGCCAGCCGGCTGCCAGCCTGGGCCTTCCTTCCCCAGCTGCTGGCTGGGGCCTTCCTTCATTCCGTGCCACCCCCTAGTGGTCAGCGCACATCATAGCGAGTGATCGAGCTCCTGGTCTCCTGGTTGAACTCCCGTGGGGACAATTTGCATATTAGGCATATATATATATATATATATATATATATATATATATATATATATATGGTCAGCAACATATACTGATTAAGCATATATTGTGTGCCAGGCATGTGGGGAACACATTGATAAATGCCAGATAGGCCTTGTCCTCATTTTGCTTATGGGTTTAAGAAATAGACACACAATAAACATATAAGTGCATAAAAAGTATAGAAGAAATAGAATTTGATATGTACAAAATGAGTGGTCCCTTGGATATTTTGTTTGTGCTACACAACTGATAGTATGAGGAAATTGAGGCATGTTCATGTAAAAAACATGATTATCACAAAAAGCTGAGAAATCTGTAAGTAATGGTCATATTTTCCCTCCAGACAGGCAAACGAACCTATCTGCCTGGACCATTTCCAGGATTCCATCTCACAAAGCTTTGTGCCCTAAGTGAGATAGGCATTCTATAAAGCTCAAATAGAATCAAGTTTATTTATTTTTTTCTCATTCCCTTTCCCATGTTTCATTACATAGTGCTCGGAAGTACAAAGATAAAGAAGACACACTTTCCAAATGCCTAATTGCTTCATTGCATGAGTGTCTACTGGTGACTGTTTCCACTAGTACATAGTATTTATTTGCAATTTATTTTCTTGTTTCCACTATGTTAAACAAACAAATATTTAGTGCTATTTACGTGCTTATTGGGAACAAATTACAAATGGATAGGATATATCTTTCCCACTCTCAAAAATGTCACTGAAATCAGATAGCAGGTCTAACACAAAGCATTTATTAATATGATCTCATTATCTTACACAACCTTTCACTGTGATTTGCCACAAATAAGTCAGAGCTTGACTTGTACACCTGAAGAATATCTCCAAGTTAGTTATACACAAATTGCTTTGGAAAGTTAACATAGGTGATATAAATTACCTTTTTTTTTTTCCTTTTAGGAAAGTCTTAATAGACATCGATACTTGAATTCCTTATTTCCTAGTGAAAATTCCACTGCCATCTATGGAATAAATCAGTTTTCATATTTGTTTCCTGAAGAATTTAAAGGTATGGTGTAGTGATGCCATTAGCTGATTGGTTTCCTGATTTTAACTTCTTTCCTTAATTTTTGAGGAATTGTTACATTGTGAATCTAGAACATTGAGTAATAGTTAATAATTTATTAAATACTTACTAGGTACCAAGCATGGACCAGGTGCTGACAGAAAAATAAATTCATAGTCACTCTTCTAATTATTGCTTAAGAACTAAATATTATAGACACTTCCATGTTGCTGTAAGGGGCAATGAGCACATTGACTTGGTTCTTTCAAACGGGTAATTTTCTGTGGCACCTTCAGCTCTATTGTAGGAATTTTTATCTCTTATAGCTTTCAGTTGATTGCATTTCATGTTATGGAAAAGCACAGAGAAAAATCATAAATGGCAGGCTCTCCTACAAAGCGAACGTTTCTTTTGGAATGTTCCTCCAAAAAAGAACCCCAAGGGGCCCTTCCTATAATCTAATACTGCCTTTTCATTTCCTATTTCTACTCAGCTATTTATTTAAGAAGCAAAACTTCCAGATTCCCCCACTACTCCCCGAAAGGGCCAATGCTCATCTCCAACATGTCTTTGCCATTAAGATTTGACTGGAGAGATAAGCATGTTGTCACACAAGTGAGAAACCAGCAGGCGGTAAGTTCTCCGGTTTTGTTCTTTTTTAATCACCTGAGCATGGGGAGTCACCGTTGAGGTCAAGTTTAGTCAGACTTGTAATGGACCCCATCATTCTTCCAGGTAAAATCACACCCCAGTCATTCAATAAATGGCAGTAAGATGAGACTCTGTTGGAGTGGGAGGCAGATGTCAAAGCCTGACTTTTTTCTGAGATAAGCCTTCCTTGGTGTGTTCTCTCACTAATGACCATTGCCACCAGCACACTGGCTCAGGGTGCTTCCCAGTAGCTGTGTCACAGTTTCCAAACCCTCTGTAGAACAGCAGATGGAGGGCTGGAGAAGGTAAACTTGACTGCTAAATGAGAAATGACACTGAAAAAGTAACACGATACCATATACACTAACCAACAGTGTGGCCTGGTCTCTTAGGTTCTCAGACCTCATCCCTTGAGCTCCAGTGGAAAACCCTGTCCCCTAAAGGATCATACGCTTTCTATCTGTGACCCTTAGAAATGCAGTCTATTTTGCTATAATGTGACATATACATACATTCCTAAAAATCACTACCAGGGCAAACCCCTGCAGTAAAAACAAAAGGTGTTATAAGAGAAATTAGGTTAGACTACAGCATTAAAAAAGGTGTCACACTTTAAAAAAGATAGAAGGCAGTAAATTTGCAGCACGGGGAATGTCAGCAGACTGAGGAAAGTCAGTTACCTAACCACATGGCTATAGTCTCCATTTATCTGCAGTGGAAACCTCAACGGGTCATTCAACCTCCCCTGGTTATTTTTTCCAATCGCAGTTGACATATAACATTATATTACTTTCAGGTGTACAACATAGTGATTAGACATTTATATAACTTACGAAGCGCTCACCTTGATAAATCTAGTACCCATCTGACAGTATGGCAAGTATTCTGGACCCTGCAGTTTCCCAGTCACCATTTATTTAGGGCAAGCGTGTCAAATTCAAAGATTAACACGGGCCACATAAATAAGGTTTAAGTTTATGTGGACCGCTAAAAAACACACAAAAGCTTCAATTTTCGTAGAAACGTAAGTTTATTTTTATAGAGACATGCTTAATACAAAGAGCTGAAATAAATGAGTAATTGTTAATGTAAAATAATAGAGCATTTTAATAAAAGTTAACATTTTTTCTTGAAAATTAACTTACCAGATACTGAATAACTGCAAAATGAATAAGCATAATGCAAATAAACCTATTTTTCTTGTTCTCCGAAAGTGAGATATCCCTGTTGTGCACACCAAACAAGTCAGTCCAAGAACTAATGATGTGGCAATCAGCTGCTAAAATATTCACTGCCAGTATTAGCGGAGAGAAATGGCGCGCCTGTGCTTAAGGCATGTAAGGGAAATGAATGCAACACAATTATAGTAATTAGTCATTAGCAAACATTGTATTTTGTTATTAATAATAATGTATAACAGGCCCTAACCGGTTTGGCTCAGTGGATAGAGCGTCAGCCTGCGAACTGAAGGGTCCCAGGTTCGATTTTGGTCAAGGGCATGAACCTTGGTTGCTGTCACATGCCCAGTAGGGGTCGTGCAGGAGGCAGCTGATTGATGTTTCTCTCTCATGGATGTTTCTACCTCTCTATCCCTCTCCCTTCCTCTCTGTAAAAAAAATCAATAAAATATATTTTAAAAATAATAATAATTATGTATAACAGGATATTGTAAAAATTAAGTTACAAAATTTTTATTCAAATGTTTCTTACATACCGTTATATTGGCTGGGCTGCAAAAATATTTGATGTGGGCCACAACAAAAATTTGCTTTGTTACTGGATTCATAATCAAGTGCGAAATAGCCTGACATCTAATCCTCCCAGGAGTGTCTGCACTGTATTAAAGGGGAACTTTTCATTAGGATTCTTTAATTAAAGGAGTATACTAGAGAGATATCTTTGAGCAGGCACTGCCCTCCAGGGGAAGCCAAAGGCAGGTTAACTAAAGCTAGCTATAGGTATAATGTCAGCAACCTGTCTCCACATTTATCAATGGGTGAAGATTCTGAGGTAGCCCTTAGTGAATATTTTACTATGCCATAGGCACTAGAGATAGGGACATAAATATGGCCACTTAAAGCCATGAAGTTGCTTAAAACTTCACTCCACAAAGACAGCCAGTTCTTTCTTTCTTTGCCTAACTCTACAGCACATGGCCCTGTGATTAGGATATTTCCACCCAATTCCAAATCTCATTCTCATGGATCTATCTTGTGTATGATCCTTGATACTATTTGCTATTTCTCCTTCCTTTCTTTTGGGACAACCTTTTATTCTTTTGTTCTAGTTTGTCCAATAAAAGCAAGTAAATAGATCCAGAATCGGAAAGATTGCCAGCCAACATTTGAATGAGGAATGGCTAACATGGGTTTCTATCATTAGAACATTTCATGTGCATTTATAATTGACATATGCTGGCATATTGATAGCCTGAAATGTAACTCATTCAGCTCCTGTGTCCATCAAATAATGAGTATAACATATAAGACATACATTGACGTACATCTTCACCCCACCTCAACTTATCACCTCCCTTGGGGCAAAGATGGTGGATGACACAGAAACATACTATCTGGGGAGAAACAAAAGGGATTGGAGAATGGGATATGAATTGGTATACTTCTTAGAAACAGACATCATCTATTTAATGAACTGACTTATCTTTTAAAATACCAGTTTGTTTTCTCATTCTCTAAAATTTGGTTTCATCTTGCATTGTCTAATTTATAATAATGATACTACCAATTTACTTGTAACTAATCATTGGATTTTGATGCTTAAAAGGGAATTTTGGTTTTCTTTTCTTTTCTTCAAATTGGAGGATGAGCATTTATATTTTTGTAGACCTCTAGATTCTGCCCACCTGATTTGATAACTTGTGATATTGAAAAATGTTGGTAAACTTGGTTTGAACATTGTTTGCTAATAAATACTATTTTGTTTCTCTTTTTTAAACAGTGTGGAGGATGCTGGGCCTTCAGTGTGGTAGGTGCAGTGGAATCAGCATATGCAATAAAAGGGAAGCCTTTGGAAGACCTAAGTGTGCAGCAGGTCATTGATTGCTCATATAATAATTACGGCTGCAATGGAGGGTCTACTTTTAATGCTTTGAACTGGCTAAATAAGGTGACTAGTTTCTCAGCCTTTGAAACGCTTTGTTTTCTCTTTTGCTTAATGTGTGCTCCGAATTTAGACAATTGATTCTCATTTACTTAATAATGTTTTTAGAAATTTAGATAACCAAAGCTTGAATTAATCGGATTTAAAAATGAATTGCTTCTAGGCAAGTCAACCATCAAGATCAAAGGTTAGAAAATCTTACCTGAGATCTGTTTTCCAAAAATTATTTATGTTTATTTCTGAACGTTTCTTAATAGGTAAATGTGTTTTTGGTGGTTTTTTTTGTTTTGTTTTGTTTTTGCAGATACGTGTCACATAGTGACCCAGAAAGGAGAGCATATGAGCATATGATTACCCATTTCCATAGAATTTGTGAATATTAAGTTTAAAAGGGACAAAGGGACAGCTAATTTAGTAACGCTTTATATAGATGAAGATGTGAGATTATATTGCCAAATCAGTAGCTGAGCCAGAATTGCACCTGAGGTCCTCTGCTTCCCATTAGGCATCCTACCCACCATGCCTTAATGTCAGTATCCCTCAGTATTCTTAGGATACTCTCTGACCTTGTCCTAGATCCAGCATCAGTTGTGTGAAACCAGCCAGTGGAGGTGCTTTTATACTTTCTAAAAGGCTGCCAAGCTAGAGTTTCCCAAACTCAAACATCCTTCCCTTATTCATTTGCTAGATTTGAGTTACTGAATGCCAAAAACTCTTCTATGTTATGGGCGACAATGAGTTGCCTGTCTTCTCCCTTTCATAAGCCCAACATTCAGAAAAGGAGGACTATGTATAAACAATTATAAACTAAGTGACATAGGCCAAGTGAAAGGCACAGAGAGAAGTGGATAGAAAAAAAAAAGTTTGACCTGGCCATTGCCTGTGCATAAACCATTGTGCTGAGTGAGTCTCAAAGACTTACTAACATAGAACCAGTTGCCCTATTATAACCTCACTAGAGGCCCACTGCACAAAATTCATGCAAAAGGGCTCGGACCTCGCAGCCCCAGCTTCGCCCGGAAGGTCGTCTGGAAGGTCCTTCTGCTGTTTGGTCTAATTAGCATATTAGCTTTTTATTATATAGGATGAGAAAGATGACAAGGCTTTATTATTATGGGATTGATAGAGGTCCAAGGAAGGAAGATCTAGGAATGATAAGAATAAAGAGAATGGAAGCTAATGACTCTAATTACCTAGGATATCCATAACAACACCGAAAGATTGAATTTAAGAGCTTATTATTACCCAAAGAATATCCACATGATGAAGGTGTGGCCAAGTTGAATCCGATTATGACACATTGCACCAAGTTCTATTTAAAACAACTGCTTGACAGAGAACCCTTTGGGTGATTGTTTTCTTTTAGACGCAAGTAAAACTGGTGAGAGATTCAGAATACCCATTTAAAGAACAGAACGGCCTGTGCCATTACTTTTCTGATTCACATTCTGGATTTTCAATCAAAGGTTATTCTGCACATGATTTCAGGTAAACGTCTTATTCCGAGCTTTCTCCCTATGTCCTAATTTATGATATATTGACTATTTGGAATTAATAACTTGATTGAAGCCTTCACTGCATGTTCATAATTGTTTTCATACCTACGTTTTACTAGAGAGACTATCAATCACCATGGAGTGCTATGGATGTTGTTCCTTAAACATGATCTACTTAGGTTTCAAAGTGTCATTGCAATAGAAATTAGCTTAAATTAACACATTTAAATCCAATGACAGGTATAATTTATATTTACCACCTTCCTCTTACCAAATTTAGGTGTCATAATTACCATTAGTATATTTCAATCTTCCTGTTGAATCAATGGAAAATTGCCTTGTATAGATGCTCCAGCTAATAGCAAGCAGTCTGCTTACCAAGAAGCATTTTGGAACACCCTCTGTGTTCCTTGCATTTTCAAGGCATCAGTATACTAAAAGCATAAACTAAAACTTTGCATTAAAAACTAGGCCTATATTACTGGAGATTGATTGGGTAGCACGCCCTATATAAGCACAGGGGTGTCGGGGGGTAGATAAGGATAGGCTGAGGAAGAGGATTTGTGTCAAAACTTGAAGGGCATGTTGACTTTGGACAGGTTTAAGGAAACAATCATTAAAAAATGCTCTCAAAGCCAGCGAGAGAACCATTGTGGCCATTTAATATAATGCAAGATAAGTGATCAGAGATGATAAGGACAAAGACTCAACCAAAATCTGGCTTTATTTATTTATTGTTTAAAATATTGAGGGAGCTTTGCACAGTCTTTCTTTTTTAAAAAATATATTTTTTTTGATTTCAGAGAGGAAGGGAGAGGGAGAAAGATATAGAAACATCAATGATGCTAGAGAATCATTGATTGGTGCTTCCTACATGCCCCCATACTGGGGATTGAGCCCACAGTTGGGCACATGCCCTGACCAGGAATTGAACCCTGACCTCCTGGTTCAGAGGTCGACACTCACCCACTAAGCCAAACCGGCTGGGCTTTGCACCGTCTTTTGAAACAGAACGCAGAGAAATTACATTAAATTCAGATGAGATGATAGACTGACCTCTAAGTTCCTGGTACTGAATATAAAAGAATCTCTTCATCCAGATAGTGTCTGCCCATGGGATATGAAGGGAATCAAGGGTGAAATTGGACTCTGGAAGCAAATGGAACCCCTGTAAACAACATATGAGTGTCAGAGGCTTGGCGGGTTGTCAGCAGAGCTCTTGTCCACAACAGGGCTCTCAGGGGACTCCGGGAACCATATAGCAGAAAGTTTCAATTCCACAGATGGCAGGCTGTGCTGGGTCTATAATAAAAGGTGCAGGGTCACTGAGTACAGCGGTCAGCATCTACTTTGTGGGCAAAGGTAATGCAGTTTCTAAAATGAGAAAGTGTGCCTCTGTGAGCTCTCAGTTCCTTGAGAGTTTAAGTGAAGTGTGTGTGCAAGAAGGACTCAGATGTTCAAAATGTCACTAGAAAAAGATTCAGGGAATCCCTTGTCATGGGTAGCTAATGGAGAAAGTTAGGGAGAAACAAAAGAACAAGAGGCAGTAGCCTGGGTTGGAGAGTGAGAGAAAGAGAATGCAAAGGTCACTGCAATTGGCCTGACACAGGACTTATCCAACCTTTTGATTAAAAAGGAAGAGATCCCCTGAAGAATCTCTGTGTTTACACTGAGCATTAAACTCTCTAATAGTACAATGCTAAGCTAACTGTGATAGACTGGGCAAGACCTTTCCTTGATTTCTTCATTCACTCACTCAAATTGCTATTGAACACTGTTTTAGGATATGGGGTCCGACAGTGAACAAAACAGACAGAAACCCTTCCTTGGGACTATATTTTAGTGATAGAGACAGGCAACAAACAAAACAAATGAAAATATGTATGGTATGCTAGATAATTTCTAAATGTAATAATTTCTAGATGTAATAATTTCTAAAGAGGACAAAATAAAACAGTTGGGAGGAAGAGGAGACATCAGGGTGAGGGGAGAGGAGCACACAGTTTTATAAAGGGTGACTAGGGCGGGCTCCCTGAGAACATGCCATTTGAGTAAAGACCTGAAGAAGTGTGGGAACTTAGCCAGTAGATATCCGAGGAACTACTATTCCAAGCAGAAGGAACTGTAAGTGCAAAGGCCCTGAGACAGAATATGTCTAGCATTTTTAAAGAGCAGTGACTGTAGTGAAGAGAAAATGGAGTAGACTAGTGGGAGATGAGGTCAGAAAGGTTACTCGCTAATAAATTTAGAGCAGAGTTTTAGAAAAACAGGCTTGGACATGAGAGATCATAGGGTAATTCCACTCACAGAAATTAAAGCCCACAGGATTGGCTATATGGAGGAATTTTATATAGGAGATAAGTAGGAGAGTCAAGGATGACTGCAAACTTTTTGGCCTGAACGACTGAAAGAATGGAATTGAGGCATGAATGTCTAAGGAACAGATTTGTAGGAAGTGACTCTGGGAACCATTGGTAGAGGAATAGGGAGATGAGATAGAACAGGGGAAAACGGGGTTTCTTTATTAAGCAAATTAGTAGTGAGGGTATGCTGGAACTTAATCTTACTGAGGAACTCTTGGAGCCAAGGTAAAATGAATCTCAGAGTTAGCCAATGCAAGTTGATTTTCATCACCTCCTAAGATTTATTAGTTGAGGGTATGGCTGGGGTCTAAGTGGCTGTGGGCTTTTTGAGAGAGAAGGGCCTCGGATAAAGAGTTGCAGGGTTTCCTTGTTGGATTGGACAGGTTTATAATTTTAATATATTCAGAACGTCTTCCTTGACACTTAGCCTGGAGCATTAAACAGAAATTCATGACTCACCGCAAATATTACTTCCCATTTTCACATGGGCATAGCCATCCACCAAAAGATGTGGGAAGTTCTTCCCCAGCATCTGCCATGATGAGGAATATAGTTTTCCCACCTTCCTTATTTAAAAACTGCCTGTGTGATAGCTGGACACTGTGCCAGCCAATTGCAAAACTCTATCATCTTCCTTGAAGCTAGACTTAGCCATATGACTAAATTCTAGCCAATGAGATCCTTTCAGATATATGCAGAATGTGTGTGTTACTTCTGGGAAATCTCAACAGGAATGCAGCACCTCTCCTTTCTACTCCCTGCTGAATGGAATATATGTTAAATGGCTGGAGCTCCTGAAGCCATCTTGGACCATTAATTGAACTTGGGAATGGACACCTCACATGGAAGAATAATGGCATAAGAAGAGCCTGGGTTCTTGATATCTATTGCAACCCTGGACTACCAGTCTCCCAGACTTCTTGTCGCCTCCATTGTTTAAGTCTTCTGTAATTGCAACCAAACCTATGTGTATCCATACAAAGATTAAAGAGATCGTTTTAAAAAAATATTCTTACCTTAAAAACTAAACTCCTTAACCAAATATTTTCTCTTTTGGTAGTGACCAAGAAGATGAAATGGCAAAAGCACTCCTTACCTTTGGTCCTTTGGTAGGGATAGTAGATGCAGTGAGCTGGCAAGATTATCTCGGAGGGATAATACAGCATCACTGCTCTAGTGGAGAAGCAAATCATGCTATTATCATAACTGGGTTTGATAAAACAGGTAAGTGCTGATAAGACTTGATTGATTGCTTTCCAGCTTAAGGTAATTGACAAATCACCTTAACCATATAAAAAGTTAAAATGTAGTCGTATATCTAAGTCCTCCTAAGACCATTACTACTTTTCAGTAGACTTCTGGGTATAAATAACCCCATTGTGTTCCTTCTTATCAATTTTGGTGGATAACTTGTTAGAATGATGATAATTACTGATTTAAATAATGTGCATTTTCCATCTGAAGTATTTAGGATAATTGTTGGGAAAATAGAAGTGCCTATTGTTTTATCATACATATCTAACAATTATTCTTCCCTGTTTCTAATGCCCTGGAAATGTGTGTGTGTTTTCATTCTGTGCAAGTTCCGTATTAAGTGAAATGAATTCAAACATATTTTTCTAATAATTGGAGTGTGACACTAAGTACAGCTCAAGTTTACTTAGCTAGCTTAAGTTAGCATTCTATTACAGTTTTAATCATTTTGTTAAAGCTACTAACACTGATCAAGAAATAAATTTAAAGTAAACATGCATTCATGCAAATATGAGTTTTTCGGGGTTTGTTGCCAATTTTTGTTTTGTAGGAACTACTCCATATTGGATTGTACGGAACTCATGGGGAAGTTCGTGGGGAGTGGATGGCTATGCCCATGTGAAAATGGGAAGTAATATTTGCGGTGAGTCATGAATTTCTGTTTAATGCTCCAGGCTAAGTGTCAAGGAAGACGTTCTGAATATATTAAAATTATAAACCTGTCCAATCCATAGTATGTTTCCAACATACTCACATCACTTTATAATTCATAAAAATAGAATAGTTTTTTAAAGAAGAGACACTATTGCACATATTCATGCTTTAAAAAGGAAGAAAGACTGTAGTAAAAACAAATATAATAAGCAAAACATAATAAGATAAACTAATAATTTACCAAAGTTAACTACTTCAAAATCCAGAGGCTTTTGGATTTAAAAATACACAACTTAGCCGAAACTGGTTTGGCTCAGTGGAAAGAGCGTCGGCCTGCGGACTAAAGGGTCCCGGGTTCGATTCCGGTCAAGGGCATGTACCTGGGTTGCTGCCACATCCCTAGTGTTTCTCTCTCATCGATGTTTCTGACTCTCTGTCTCTCTCCCTTCCTCTCTGTCAAAAATCAGTAAGTATATTTAAAAAAAAAATACCCAACTTAGGAGGCTGAAGTTCTCCAAAAAGTCCCCTAGTTCCAATTTTACTTGTTATAACTGTATGAGTTTTTCTTAATTTTTTTTTAAATATATTTTATTGATTTTTTACAGAGAGGAAGGGAGAGAGATAGAGAGTTAGAAACATCGATGAGAGAGAAACATCGATCAGCTGCCTCCTGCACATCTCCCACTGGGGATGTGCCCGCAACCCAGGTACATGTCCCTGACCGGAATCGAACCCGGGACCTTTCAGTCCACAGGCCGACGCTCTATCCACTGAGCCAAACCGGTTTTGGCAGTTTTTCTTAATTTTTGCATTAATAGTACTTGCACAAAGATTGTCAAGAATCACTTTTTCTTTGGATAAAAATTTATGAAATGTATGAAAAAAGTATTAGGATTGTTTCTGATTTAATATTCTCCTCTTGCGGGGGGGGAAAAAAATGGACACATATGTAATACCCTTTGTAATACTTTAAGCAATAAAATAATAAAAAAAATATTCTCCTCTTTACCTGCAAAATTCTAATACAGCACCCATGAATGGAGAAGCTTAAGCAAATATCAAATGTGCTCTTTTATAGAACAACAGTTTTTTTGTGTGTGTTAACCATAAACCAAATTAAAATAGCTAGGTTGGTACTTTAAACTGTATTCTAAAACTTATATCCAAACCTCTATTCTACAATTTTTGATCTGGAAAATCAACATATTTTCTGAATCAAGTTAGAATGAAACTATATTGCATATGAGAGCAATAGTTTACTTTTCTCACTATAATTACTTCTAGCATACAACTAACTTTTTTAAAAAATTGTAGAACACTATAAACTGTGAGACTGATAAAGGAGAGTTATAGAAGATTTGGGAGTTTATGTTTTGACTCAATTAGTGAGTACTACCTAATGGTTCCATAAAGTAGAATTCATGAGAATTCATAAATGGCCTGTTTTATCACCCCAGTACAATATTTACATCAATCACTTATTGAAGAGAACAAACATCATAGAAATCTTTAAGCCAAAGTGCTAGCAACCCAATCAAGGCCCCACCTTATACCATCATTTGGGGCTTTTACATTGCTGGAACATCCAGATAAACTACTCCTGCCATTCATTGAACCTTTGAAACTAAACATAAATTATTTCTAACTGTGATGCCTGGGTCTGGGCTAACAGGTGGCAGTTTTCAAAGCCTGGCTCAGTGGTTGAGTTTCTACCTAAGAACCAGGAGGTATGTTTGATTCCTGGTTAGGGCACTTGCTTGGGTGGCAGGCTCCATCCCCAGTGCAGGGTGTGCAAGAAACGGCCAGTCAATGATTCTCTCTCATTGATGTTTCCCTCTCTCTTCCTCTCTGAAATCAATAAAAATATACATTAAAAAAAAGCTCTGGCAGGAGAGTTACAAGAACATAATTCAGACATTAGTTCATAGTTGCCTCGATTATGACTCTGCATTCCCCACGACCACCTTTTCCCTGGCCCCCAGCTCTACTGAGGATGAGCTGGAATAATTTCTTCTCTCTGTTTCCCAGTTTGATTCTCCAAAGGCATGACTAGTTAGTAATTACACAGAGTCCAAATTCTTCCTGAAAGTATTTGGTGATCACATTACTCTTAAGAACAATGGTGAAAGTATTTGGTGATGACATGACTCTTAAGAACAATGGTTTAAGATAAATAGCATTTCATGGCCCCGAGAGATTTCAAAAATATAGCTATTTACAATGAAATCCAGTCTTGAATGAGCTATTTATTGCTTTCACCACAATATTGAGATTTATGTTCTTGTGTGCTAAGAAAGCATAGTACACGTGATTTATTGAATTTTTGCTAATTAAAGTTCAAATCTTAAAAGTTTGAATTTTCAAATTTTATTTAAAATATTTCTGTAAATTATTATATCATCTCTAAACTATATATATGTAGTAAAGAGTTCACATACCTTTACCTATTCAGTTAGTAAGTCATTTTATGTGTTTTTGTGTATGTGTTTTTATAGTTTCTTAAAACAAAAATATTAGTTATATCTTCCAATATCTGCTTTTAAATTGCCATGTTTATACTGACAGCTATAACTGTTAAATTATTTTCTTAGTAATTGCTAACTTTTTCTGAACCCAAATGAACATTGTTTTAATTTGCTATTTACAAGGCATATAAAGAAGAAATAGACTCCTATTAATAATTTCTTTTTTCTTAGGTATTGCAGATTTTGTTTCTGCCGTATTTGTATGATTAATTGATCGAATCAAGAGACAACTACCAAAATGAAGGTTCCTACTGAAATATAGCATGGTACTTCATTCTCAGCATTATTCACCTTTAGGTTTTAGCAACTAACCACAACCGGTTCTAGGGCCTGGTAGTATTTAAGCCAAGTTATGGCATGTCTCCTTCTTATAAAGAGATGGGCAACATAGTCAGGAGGAAGAACACCAGCACCATGGCCTGGGAAACAGTTTCCCACTCCGGAGTGAATGTCAGTTTAAGATATTTTAGGTCTCTACTTTGAAGAGGCTATTATCCGGTTTTGTTTAATTGCTGTTTTTGTTTGTTTTCTATTTGTTTATTTTCAATGTCATTAAAGAGCTGATAAGAATTTATTTTCCTTGTGGGATATAATTACTGCCTTAGCTTACCCCTACCTACAAGAACAGCCAACCTAAACTTATGTGTGCCTCTCACAATTATACTCTTAGCCCTCTGAGTTGAAATGTCATAAGGATTTTAAAATGCGAATAGCTTTACCTCAACAAATAGTATTTACTCCTTGATTTGTAGAAAGATCGTGAAGTGAAAAACAAAAGGACAAGATCACTTTTTAAGAGATGGAAATTAAATGACAATAAATTATATGGCAATTATGTGATAAGAAGAACTCAACTAGCATCGCCTGAGAAAAGATTATTATTTCACAATTTTCATTGTCAATAGGATTCCAATAGACTTCATTTCCTTACTTTGATCTCTTTATATTGAAGGACAATGTTTTCTTCCACGTTTTCCTACTCTCTTTCTCTTACTCTTTACTGGGCCATTCCTAAATTCTCCTGGTGGTTTGACTTCCCTGGCTAAGAAGTCTTTATTTCTTTTGATTCATCTAAGCCACCAACATCGGGCGCTCACCTTTCTCTTCCTCCCATCGTTTGTAGGCAACACCCCTTTCAAAGTCTACTGCCATTAATCTGGGGTATTAGCCAGAATGTGAGTTTCTCAGGCTCTCTGTTGTGTGTGTGTGTATGTGTGTGTGTGTGTGTGTGTGTGTGTGTGTGTGTGTTTGTTTTTGTGGTTGTTTTCTTTGTTTGTTTGTTTTTCAGTTTTCTGCTTATGTTTCCAGGAATCCCAATCTAACTACTTTTTTTGTGTGTGCATCCATTTGGCTTTGACCTGGTTCCTGTTTCTTCATGCCCATGTTCTCTCTCTTGCCTAAGTAATTATGTGTGCCTGTGTAAGAACCTCAGAGCAGAAGAGCTGATCTTTTGATTTTACAACTATATTAAATGAGTTATATGAGAATATAAGAAAATCTAATAAATACTACGTATGTAAGTATTTCTTCTCTAAAATTTATGGTCACTTTCTAATGTAAAATATATAAACAAAAAAAAAACCCACAAAGTTTTAAATGTAGCAGCAACCACTGAAATAATTGAGAACATCCTATTTTTCCTTTTTTTCCCTTTTTGCTTTTAGTTATCCATCCTTTTTATTAGAAAGTAAAATTAAAAAAAAAAAAACATTGCATTTCTTTTTCTTACACCAACCAGAACCAATATCAAAAGATTATGTGTTGACTCAGGTTTAGAAATGCTCAATATCAAAAGATTATGTGTTGACTCAGGTTTAGAAAAACATTGATAGTTTAATTGATTAATATTCTTATTGTCTAAGTTTACCAAAATGGAATTGTGTTTGTGTTCCTTTACTGATTTCTATGTAACATAAATGCTTTTTTGATACTCTTTTTAAAATACTAAGCATTTTTTTATTACAAAGTAATATTTCTCAGCTGCTCTGAATTTTGATGGCATTTATAATAAAACAACCTATATTTGACTTTGGGTTAAGAAGACTGTGTCCAGAAGTGCATGGCTTACATTTTGTGAGCACAATGTTAATGTGCTTTGCACTCACACAAGGGTTTGTTCAGTTCCAAATCCTCATACTTACTTTTTGGTTTTCTCCACAGACACTTTAACCTCAGTGTCTCCAATAAACAACAACAAACAAACAACAACAACAGAAATACCTCCCACACCTCCTAGAGTCTCTATTTTGGTTAATGGCATCAACATTATGTAATCACCCAATCAGTAAAATTGAGGGACACCTTAGATATTTAATCAGTCAGATATACCTTAGTAGCTGATCACCTAGTCACCTGCCTCCTCTCCATTTCTACTGTTCCTTTCCAGATGCATGTTCTTTAGTATCTACATCTCCACCGTTTAGCAGTCAACCCAATAAACCCATGTTCCTGAAACTAGTGGTTCTCAAAGTAGAGCCTCCAGACCAGAAGACACACCTGCGGCTTTGGGAAACACTTTGTTTTAATCAGCCCTGCAGGTGATTCTAATGGGTGTCCTTATAATCCATCTACTGTGTGTCCCCAGGATTTACATTTCTTAAAGAGAATGTTAGCAAGTTACTCCCCTGTTGCTTCAAAGATAACATGCTGACTCTTTTAAATGAGCTCTCATGGAGAAGTCCCTCTCTACCTTCTCAGCTCAGTCCCTGCTCTTCTACATCGACAGCAGCTGTGTTCCAGCCATCACAGACTACTTGGAGTTCACCCAAGGAGGCTAAGACAAAAGCAAAAAAGTCTTCACATAATAATTAGGCTTCATAATGAAAATGATCAAGATGTCCCTGGATATGATTTCACAAAGACCTGAAAGTGAATACTAAATTGGATAACTTTACAATTACTTTGTGACCACTTAAGAGTTATTATTTAATGTGGATTGTCAGCACTAGAAGCAAGTTTGAATGGAGACAAGGGTAGAAACTGGCATTGCAAATTGTGTTGATATGTACATTAAGAATTACTAATATATCCTTTGGAAAAAAACTATTTAGCTTTGTAACACCAAGAAATATAGATGAAAATAATTAAATTGAGGTATTTAGCCTGTTAAAGGAATAAACCTTGACAAATAGCATTGATTCCAAGATTCCAAGGTATCTTGGTGACAGAACACCTATTAATATATTAATAAAAATTAATATATTCATTACTTTATGAAAAAAAGCACAAATTATGAGAATTTTATCTCCATTAAAAATAGATAGGAAACGGGCTTAACCTAGTATTTGCAGCAAAGTAGTTAGTTAATAAGTGGCAGAGACAGAATTTGCTGATTTAGCTACCATGTTACTCATCTCTTTTTTTTCCCCAGCTTAACTACCACCAGGTGCTATGTACATGTGTGCACACACACACATGCCCTTGTAGGCAAAAGCAATATGATCTTTTATAAGAAAAAAATGTGTAATTGAGACTAAAGAATAGTTCAATTCCAACAAGAACTTGCTACCCTAGGTCAAAGTTGGACATTTTAGATTTCTTTGATAATATTTTGTACTCCCCTCATAGAAAAATTCAATGAAATGTTGCAAATATCCAGAGCAAGCTAGAAAAAAAGAGGACTAAAACTCATGTCTGATCCAAACGCTTAGTCTAATAGTTACTAGCAATGAACTGGGTCATTGTTTAGTCTGTTTACCTCCCCTTTCTTTCTCCTGGAAAGAGCATTCTTCACTTGAGGGAACTCTCATCCCTACCTCAAACCTGCTGTGCACTGGAGTAGACTGTACCTCCCAGACCACAGCCGTGGGTGACTTTGGATACAGTCACTCTGAGGAGAGTGACTTTGCCCTTCTGGGAGTAGAGAGATGCTAGGATTGAGACCCAACCTGTGGGAGGAGGAGTGGGTCTACATCAGGGAACAATAAAGCCAGCACCTACAGAGAAGAGATGAGACACAGAGGATCCTCAGAGTGTTCCAGGAAGAAAGTACTTGAGGAACTGGCTCCACCCCTGTGGCCTTAGAGCTCCACCAGCTCCTCTAGTTCTTTATGCTAGTGGAGTGACTGTCCAGTGAATGCCCTTTGGACAAGCTTCACATAGATTCCTGTTGCTCGCCAAGTGTCCTAATAAATACAAGCAATGTTTTCAAACTACTATATTACAGAAAGAATAATTTTTATTACTCAAAAATTTTTATTGAATAAGTTTATATAGAATGACACATTTTATTCCATTAAATATTAAATAGCTGAAGTTTACAAGCTTATAAAATATGGAACAATGAGCTAATGATTAAATGGTTACATTAAGGTGAGCGTCAGAGAACAAATACATTTTTAATAGGAAAAGACCATATGTACAATGTAACAGTGTCACTGAATTCATTTCTTAGTGTTTTGTATCATCACAGAAATGCTTAGTCTTATATTAAACATCTTAAACATTCAAATAAATGAAATAAAATTCTTTCCAGGGTTGAATCAGAGCACCACAGTGCTTTACTACATATATACATATATTATCTTAGAAGTCTGTGCATTCATGAAAATGCATAGGAAAAACCCCACAGAAATCAGTCCTCTTCATAGACTTTGCAGATAATTTTAATCTGATTCTTCACTGCTGAAGTAAGAGCTGTCACAATATTCAGTCGTGTAAAGAAATTTACGAGTAATTGGGTTCATCTTCGGTATCCAGTGCCGGGGAATCAGAAATGTTGAAAGATTAAATAAATCTACAAATACCTTGTACCTATCACTGGAAAAACATAGACAGATGTTTTAGATTTGTTGAAATGAAATATTTTAAAATTTTAATTTTATTTTGCAAACAATATTTTGCCATGAATAACTAGCATTCAATATTATATTTAATATTACATATTATATATTATATTATATTAAGTGCTATTAGTATTAAGATTGCCCCATTTTTTATTTTGTATCCAAAGTTCATGCCCATACAGACCATATTATTGATCCGACCAGGCTGGTTCAAATTAAAACCTAGCCTTATTATTGTCTCATGTCGAACTTTTAAAGAACAGTATGCAAAATAATAAAATTAAAGCATCCAGAGTTTTTAGTCATTCATTAGAAAATATTTCCCACCTGAAAAGTAGCTGCCAACTAACTGACATAAATGAATTTATAAACCGAAATGCCATCTTAGATTTATAATGTGTCCAACAGAGTATTCTTGACACTAAATATTGCTTTTGCGTTTGTTAGTAACTATTTTAACTGCTGCCGTTTTACAGTGGAAGAGCATTTGCTTTTGCAGTCAAATTTGGGTTCAAATTCTGTTCTGTCACTTGCAACTCCTACAACCTTGGACGAGTTGTCTAAACCTCAGTGTCTTGGTTTCTAACTCTCTAAAATAAAAACTGCAATCCTTGCCTCTGGCCAGGCCTTTGTGAAGATTTGATGAGATAATGACACACTAGATGCTGTTAATTAGCATTAATTATTCCCACCACCGATGTGTGTGCTCATTTTGCACAGTCATTTTTTCTTAGATATTTACAGAACTTATTCCGGGAAAGAGAAAAAATATATAATGGTTGTGAAAATTTATACCAATGAATTTTCTAAATCATTCAACCTAGAGTTTCTTCCCAGGGAAAGTGGAAGTATAAAAATGATGAAAAATTGAACCTGTGCATTTTATAACTTAGCCAACCTGGTGGTACAATTAGGAATGGAAGCAATACACTATAAGGAATTTTGGAGACTAAAGGGGACTATCTAACATGTTCTTGATCCGATTATCTTTTCTCAAAGGGCTTGTAAGTTTCTCAGTTTTCGGATGCATCTATGTATCCTTCTACCTATAAGGCTGTGAATATTAAATAAAATAAGAACACAAATATCCTAGAAATATCTCTACCATGTTAAATGCTCAGTAAACATTGACCCTTTTCTTGTAAAAATTTGAAAAGGGCACTCCCTGGAGTAGATAGAAGTAGTTTTCATGGTATAATATAGAGTCCTATCAGGAAATAAGAAACTGTATTTTTAGCTGGATCACTCATCTCACCAAGAGTACATTAGTGAACTTAATGATAACTATTTTAATCTAGTCCAAACTGGAGCCAGAATGAGTTGACATTTTCTACCTGTATTGACTCTTTCATGCCCTCACAGGCATTGGTACCATGACCCTGTTCATCACAAGATGAAAATAATAAACTTCCAGAACTAAGAATTTATACAATGATCTCCAAAAGTTCTAATAGGAATGTCTTAATCTCACTACAAATGTGTTGTCCGCAGACAAGAGCAAGCATAAATGACTTTTCCTAGATAATGCCACATATACATGGAGAAACAAAACCTTGGTGATTTCCACCAAGATAAAAAGGTGCGTTTCCCCCATCTTACCTTACTGTTGAGCGCAGGTACTGGTAGCCTGAAGACCCACCAGTGCCAGCTTTGGTGCCCAGCATTCTGTGCACCAGGCACACGTGGTTATCTAGGCAAACACACAAATTAACTTCATGAATATTTTTCTAAAACCAGGAGTTGATAATGATTATTGCTTCTGGGAAAAGGCTCACCCCTTATCACTTAGCCATATGGAAGGTTCACCTGTGAGAGCCACATGAGGCCAGCAGGTTGCCTGGCACCCCACTTGGTTCAGCACCCCATTTGACTCCTTCCATATTTACATTTAGCCTATAAGCAGCATAGGAGCGAGTGGGGCCATAGTTTAATTTTAATGAGCTCTGGCTATTTTGCTTCTCTGGGTTTCTTATATTTTTGAATTGTGTTGCCATAAAAATAAATAAATTACTATTATATACTTAAAAATTTTCCGTGGACCTAAAGTTTATTTTTTCCTTCTGATTATCAAATAAAATATCTTTTTTTAAAGCCTACAGCACCTGGTATTCCCAGGGCAAATAAAATATCTTAATGGGCTCCCAACGTTACTGTGGGCTCTAGGTACTGTGCCATTTGTGCATTGGATGAATAGACCCTCGGGGAGGATAATTGTCAAGCTGATTAAAAAAAAAGAAAAAAAGAAAAGAAACTCACACAAAAGATGGAAGAAAAGAGAGAGCAAGAAAGAGGGCAACCCTGACTGGTTTGGCTCAGCGGATAGAGCGTCGGCCTGCGGACTCAAGGGTCCCAGGTTCGATTCCAGTCAAGGGCATGTACCTTGGTTGCGGGCACATCCCCAGTAGGGGGCGTGCAAGAGGCAGCTGATCAATGTTTCTCTCTCATCGATGTTTCTAACTATCCCTCTCCCCTCCTCTCTGTAAAAAATCAATAAAATATATTTTTTTAAAAAAAGAAGAAAGAGGGCAGACAGGAGAAAAGGAGTAAAGGAACCAGATCAGGGGAGAAGAGTTATAGGGGTGGAACTGGGGGAAGGGGGGAAGGGGGAGGACTTACATCTCCATTTGGTCATGAGTGTGTCTATTTCCATAAGAGAAGTCAGCAACTGGAAAGCGACCTGGAATCGAGGTTCTTCCCTAAAGGAGAAATAAAACAAAGGAATATATTCAAGCAAATCCAGTGTGTTAGGAAGTGCATGGCTTTTATCATCTGTTGGCCCTGGAAACAGATATCAACTTTGCTCTTAGGAATTGTGCCATCATCTCTGGATTACCCAATCAGTCTTATTTCTTCATCTCAAAAATGGGGATACTACCCCTCAATTTACAGCATTTGTTTAAAGAGTCTAGAATATTCCATGCAATATATATATATATATATACCAGCCAGAGTCACACCTAATATCGAATCTCATTAAAAGGCAGTCAGACACCCTATCTCAGATTTACCAGCTAATAGAGTAAAAACTTTTTCCAGACAAAGATATTAAAAAACAAAATAAATACTGCATATGTATATACACATATATATGTATATATAATATGTAATGTATATATTCTCTTCATCCAATCCTTCAACTAACTCAATATATATATATATTTTTTAATATATTTTATTGATTTTTTACAGACAGGAAGGGAGAGGGAGAGGGAGTTAGAAACATTGATGAGAGAGAAACATCAATCAGCTGCCTCCTGCACACCCCCTACTGGGGATGTGCCTGCAACCAAGGTACATGCCCTTGGCCGGAATTGAACTGGGACCCTTGAGTCCGCAGGCCGATGCTCTATCCACTGAGCCAAACCAGTTAGGGCAACTCAATATATTTTTTGCTTAATATACATAAACTTGAGTGGCATACATTTAGTAAGAGTTTAGGAAAAGAGTCAAAAGATTTTGTTTATGTTGTTATTCTGAAGAGAGATTGGAGAGGATTACAATTTAAATAAATACAAGTAAATAATATATCCAGTAAACATAGGCATTTTTGCTAGTGTGCTATCTATTGTTCTGACTCATTTAATTCATGAAACATGAAGATGAGGCCTTCATACATATGCAGGAGTATGTGGACATTTAAAGAACACTTCAAATGTATTAAACAGTGAAGTTAATTTTACTTGAAATTGTTGAATAAGCAGAACAACAGTTTACAAGGTGTTTCCACTTTACAATTTTTTTTTATAAAACAGGAATAATTCTACAACATTGTTTAATGATGGAACACTTTTCATGACTAAATTTTTCAGGCAGATTGTACTGTGGTCTTTTTGGACATTTAATATCCTATATAATAACAGGCTAATATGCAAATTGACCAAATGGCAGGTTGACCAGACACTATGACATGTACTGACCACCAGAAAGCAGACACTCAATGCAGGAGCTGTCCCCTGGTGGTCAGTGTGCTCCCACAGGGGAAGTGCCACTCAGCCAGAAGCTGAGCTCACTGCTGGTGGGCACAACAGTAGTGGCGGGAGCCTCTCCTGCCTCTGCAGTAGCACTAAGGATGTCCGACTCCTGGCTTAGGCCTGCTCCCCACGGGCAGTGGGCCTAAGCCAGCAGTTGAACATCCCCCAATGGCTCCAGGACTGCAAGAGGGCACTGGCCGGGCTGAGGGACCTGCCCCTCAAATGTACGAATTTCCTGCCCCAGGCCTCTAGTCACATTATAAAATTATAAAAAGAATTTTTTATTAATTTGAGAGGGTATTTTTTTAACCAACTACAGAGAAAAAGTTAAGCTTTTACTATTTAAAGGAAAGAAAACTTCATGAAACTCTCACAATTAATTATTTTCTAAGCTTTCCATAAAACAAAATAACTTAATAGAACTATGATTGAAATGTATAAGCTTTATATTTGATACATTATCTATAGCCAATCCTCAATTTTAACTTCTGTTTCTCTTCTAATTTGCTTTTACCTGTAAAAATATATCATCAAGGCCCCCTGAAGTGCTCTGTATGAGAGTCGTCTTTCACCTGCAAAATACATAGCAAGTTTTAATTTAATAGGTCATTTAGGGTAGTCATATTAATTTGGCACCATCACCTTAAATAATTGTTATATGTTTTTAGAAAGCAATGTAAGTTTTAATTTAAAATTTTATCCCTTAGCTTGAAATTTGGAAAATATCACATAAAACATTGTTTTAATATTGCATTTTAAAAGGCAGACTGAAATACTAGTATATATAGGACGTTCAAAAAATTTTAATAGCTGATAACATTTAATTTTCACCCCTTTTCAATTTTAAATTATTTGAACTAATGGGTGAAACCAGACTAAGCTTTGCACACAAAAAAATTTATCCTAATGTTCCACTAGGTATTTTTTTAATGGCGATACATAAAAGATAAAGTTTACAGTACAGTACCAGCAACAGTTGACAAATTGAGGGCACACAAATACCAAACAAAATGATTTTTGATGTTTGGGATTCCATTGCTTCGAGTTATCAGCAGTGCTTGGGCCAGAATGGTCATCAATTTGAAAACAGGCATTGACAGAAAATGATTCATTTCTGTGGATTCTTTTAAATTTTGAAAATGACCTGTATGCTCTAATAACACTGACTTTATAATTATTCAAAATTTGTATACATTTTTGGGAATATCTACATATATATATATATGGCTCTGAACTACTTGAGAAGCCATTTTCCATGTCCCTTGGTATCCCTCATATTTGTCATATCATGACAGTTTCTACCAATGTGTTTGAGATAAAATGGTCATGTAAAACTGTTAATATAATGTTCTCATAGATAACACTAACCAATGTTTATTTCTAAGAGTAGAATATCAATTTTCATTTTATTTCCCCAAGTGGAATTTGATCTTTGATGCCATCAGTGATGGCGAACCTTTTGAGCTCGGCGTGTCAGCATTTTGAAAAACCCTAACTTAACTCTGGTGCCGTGTCACATATAGAAATTTTTTGATATTTGCAACCATAGTAAAACAAAGACTTATATTTTTGATATTTATTTTATATATTTTAATGCCACTTAACAAAGAAAAATCAACCAAAAAAATGATTTCACGTGTCATCTCTGACATGCGTGTCATAGGTTAGCCATCACTGGATGCCATAATAGTACAGTGCCAAGAAACAATCCTTAAGAATAAAATTACCTACCTTTACTAAGAAGATGCTCATGGCGTTTCTCATCAAATAATAAGAGTAACACCTCTTTTTGTTTGTGAAATTCAGCCATTTGTTCCTCCTTTTCCTCTGATTCGTTTTTAGCCTTTGGAGAAAATTCTTCATTAATATTCCCACAACAGAGAATAGATTCTAATTTCAGAAAACATTGCCTAGAGAAGTAGACTTGCCAGGTGCAGAAAAGGTGTACTTGGGATATTTACCATTTCATCTAATATTACAACTTGGAAATTATGGCTTCCGAGAAGGGGTCTTCCTCATAGTCACTGGTTCTATCCTTTAAGTTCAATTTAACTGATTTATCAATCTTAAACATTATCTTAATAAAGATCATGACTCCTGGGCTCAGGTGGGTATAACTGGATACAAGTGGTCAATATGTTCAAATAGTTGACAAAAATTATTTATCACAGTAAGGTTATTACACTCAGGAAAATTAATGATTCCTAGTCGGGAAAACTATTAATGCTACTGAAATTCTATATTCAGTATTATACCTTATAAATATAATTTCTTAGATATATTTCACACTTTTATTTTTATTCTTTTCATATAAATTGATTTGCTTAAGAAAATTCTTATTTTTCTGCCTACAGCACATGCTCTATCTATAAGCCAATTAATTAAGCTGAAGCAAAAATTAGTTAACCCAATTATCTTCAAGTCCTCAGAAGAATCAAACTGTTAAAAAGTTGTATGCACACTATTGCCAATTACATATTCCTTTTTTTAGTAAATGTCATGCACAGGTGATAAACAAAATAGTGAGCAAAAATTGAGTCCCATGACCTTATGCAACATATTATGTGGTGGGAATAAGATGTAGAACAAATAATCACCTGAACATTAAATGTTGAACACTCAGGAGTGTCCCATGCCATAGTGGTATACAGAAGCAGTATAGTGCCATGATAGCATAGTTGTAAGGGGGTCAGAAAAGGCCTTCCTGAAGAAGTTTTCCTTGAGCCAAGAGCAAAGAATGAAAAGGAGTTACCTGGGGAAGAATACTCCAAACCCAGAAAATAACATAAAAAGACTGGTGGTAAACTCAAAGAACTAAATTCAGCCTAAAGGAAATTCAGTATGGCCCAGAAGATCAAAAAATGCCTTGAAGATTATATTAAGGATTTTTATTGTTATGCTGAAAGCAATGGGAAAACATCAAAGTGTTTTATGCAGAAGTCAAATGTGACTAGATTTGCATTTTGAAAAGATTACTCAAATTGCAATGTGGACAATAAATTGGAATGGAGCCATATTGTAAGCCTTGTCAAATAGTGGAGAGAATATGACTTTAGTCTAAGTGAAAAACAATGACAGTCTGCACTTGATGGGTGGTGGTAGATCAAAGAGAGATACTTGAGAACTATTTAAAAGGTGAAACCAATAGCATTTGGTGATAGCTTGATGAAGTCAGTTGAGGAAGAGGGAGTTACCAAGGACCAATAGTACCAGTCTGACTTGACACACTAGGAGAAAAACTTGGAGAAGACAGGAGTGGATGAAAGGGAATTTTTTTTTCTTTTAATCAGTGTATGTTTGAGAGGACCAGGAGGAAATATAAATTAAGGTGTTAAGTATATGATCTGAAATTTAAGAGGATATCTACACGAGAGGTATTTGTTTGAGAATCACTGGTGTATAAGTAGCTATAGAAGCAGTGGGTATAAATGAGTTAATGTAGTGAAATAATATAGACAAAGGACACAAAGGCTATAAGCCAATGAGTTGGGAAATCCCACCATTTACTTGTCTAATGAGCCAGTAATGGAGGCAGAGAAATCAGACATTTAGACGAAGTTAAAATATTGTGTACCAAATCCAAGAGGGTGGGGGGAATGTTCAAAAAAGAGTTAAATAACCATTCGTACTGAACGTCACTGTTAGCTCAAGATAAGTGAAGATAAAAAATGGCCATTGGATTTATGTACATGGAGGTTATTTGTGAATGATGGGACAAGAAGACAGACTGGATTGAGTTGAAGATTGGATGAGAAATGAAGGAATAATTATACTAACTACTGTTCTAAAAACACTTTACAACTATTAACCTAATTTAATGCTCATAATAATCCTATGAGGTAGATACTCTTATTTTCTATTGTATCAATGATGAAAGTGAAGCAAAGAGAAGTTAAGTCAAAGACGTTCAATGTCACACAATTAAGAAGTGCAGGTGGAACTTGAACACATGCAGTGTGACTTCAAGACATTAAGCACTACTGATAAAGCCTCTCAAGACATAGAATTAGACAACTCCCTCAAGTTTAGTCATGAAAAAAGGAAGAAAGGCCTGTAATTTGAAGGAAATGTGGAATCAAGAAATCAACAATATTTTCTTAAGTGAGAAACTTGACATTGTCTGAGAACCAATAGGAAGAACTGGGCCTTTGTGAGCCTACTTTTGTCTAGAATTAGTCATAATCTTGAAACGTTCAATAGAAATAAAAAAGGTATATTAGCCTCATCTATTTATCAAAGAAACTCTTGCTTATAATGAAATTTTTAATTTAATTTTTATTGTATCTAAATAAAATTAAATCCATCATGTAACATATTCTAAGTATATGCTTTTGTGAAAGAAAAATAAGAAAAAATGTAAGTTTAAGAGGTAAGTGGAGAATTATTAAAATAAAATTTGCAATACTTTTTTCTGTAGTAAACTTACATTTACTTAAGGCATCATAAATACCTGAATCATACTGAATTCTTCTTCCAGGCCTTTAACAATATTTTTTTCCAACTTTTCCCAGAAGTTAAATCCATGTTTCTCTAAACCTGGTGTTCTTTCCAGCCATGCCTTAAGTAAACATTATTTTTAAGTTAATATATTGTAAATTTTAAATAGGTGAGATACATTAAACTAATATTTATGAACCTGAAACAGAATATTTTCATGGTTTTGAGAAACAGATATAATAAGGTACTTTTTGTGTGTAAACATTTTCTTTCCCTTCAATTTCTTCACTTAAAAATAGAAATCTATTCTATTCCATTTCTTACTTTTTAATAAAATCATATTACTGCTGTTTAATCTTTATTTATTAAGAACTATGACTGGCTGGAGCGGCTCAGTGGTTGAGCATCAACCTATGAATCTGGAGGTTATGTTTCGATTCCCCATCATGGCACATGTCAGGGTTGCGGGCTCCATTCCCAGTAGGGGGCGTGCAGGAAGCAGCCAATCAATGATTCTCTCTCATCATTGATGTTTGTATCTCTCTCTCTCTTTCCCTTCCATTCTTCTCTGAAATCAATAATATATATATGTACACATATATATTTAAAAATAAATATTACAAAAATCCCAATTTTTTTCTATAAATCTATGAACATATATAAATATTGTTTTAATGAAGTGTCTAGTTTATTCTCAAAGTACTTTATTATTAAGATCTGAAGGAATTAAAACATGTATAATATATGATCTCTTCTAAATGCAGGAGCATGGTATAATTAGCAACTTGGAAATACACTTACTAATCAATTATTTTAATATTCCACAGACTTTTTAATCAGAAATAAAACCTAATTCATACATCCCTGTGAGTTCTCATTTGGGTTTGAAATTAGCTTTCTGATTCTTTCTATTCCTATCTTTATAAGCTGTTCTCTCTCTCTCTCCCCCCTCTCTCTCTCTCTCTCTCTCTCTCTCTCTCTCTACATATGTATATATGTATATATATAAAGGTAATATGCAAATTAGGCCAGGACGCTATAATGGTCATGACCAGCTCAGGAGGAGGGGCCTGGTGCCACCCTGGAGCCTGAGAGAACAACAGACAGGGTGGCCTGTGCCTGGCCCCAGACCAGAGAGAACAACCCTCAGGGGGGCCGGCCCCCAGCCCCAGCCTAACGGTCGTGGCGCTGGGCTGTTGGGGCTGGAGCAGAGTGGACACAAACCCACAGGGGGCCCAGGTTTGATTCTGATCAAGGGCATGTACCTAGGTTGCAGGCTACTCCCTGGCCGGGGCCCAGGTCAGGGCTCATGCAGGAGGCAACCAATTGAAGTGAGCCTCTCACATTGATGTTTCACTCAGTCTTTCCCTCTCTCTTCCATGCTCTCTAAATATCAATGGGAAAATATCCTCACGTGAGGATAAAAAAAAAGAAAAAAGAAAAAGAAAGAAATGTCATATCCTATGAAAGAGACATCTTGAAAATGCCTAAAGAAAGTTGTTATTTTTTCGTGGTGAAGGGACTGGAGTCCATGTTGATGAAAACACCTTGGCAGCTGCAGCGGCCGGCAGTGGCAGCAGCAGTGGGGTGATGGGGGTGATGCCTTCCCCTGATCAGCCTGGGTGCCTCCAGCAGAGGGAGGTCAGTCTGCAGCCCATGGGGAGTGGGCCTAAGCCATCAGTAGGACATCCTCTGAGGGCTCCTGGACTGTGAGAGGGGGCAAGCTGGGCTGAGGGACCCCCTCCCCCCCAAGCCAGTGCACAATTTTTTTATTATATATAATGTTTCTAAAATTCTCAAGAAAGTTCTTAATATTTAAATACTTTAATTAGTTAAATTTATACATTTAAGCATTTTATAAATTGTTTATGTTTTTATTTACAATTAACGTGACCAAACTTTGATATTAGTTGTACAATTCTTATCTAGCAGAAGCTAAATTAAAAAGATGTATGTAGATCTTAGAAATAGCATTTGAGCATGTACCTCCACTAGTTGCAAAAGTGTTTTTTCCTGCTCCGACTTCAGTAGCAATTCATTTTCTTCTCCTTTGAAGTTATCACGATAATGTCTCCTGTTGTAAGGGACTCTTAAACTCTGAAAAATACCCAACTTGTTTTCTAATAGTCGGAACTGTAAACTCTGGAAGCCTGATGCTGGAGATAAGTACTCTCTGAGAATAAATGAGGGAGAGAAGAAACAGAGAAATGTGTTGACATTGTAAATCACAGTTTTACTCTCTTAGATATCATCAAGAACACAAACACAGCTGCCTAGAATTGGACCTAAGGTTCGGACATTACTGAAATAAGGAAAATGAGCTACCTAAACATCATTGTTGGTATCTGTCAACCAATTTAAAGTTGAAATGTTTGTATAGTTTGTAAAGTGTCATATGTATGTATACACACAGAAATACATATACACATATACGTGTATGTGTGTATACTAAATGTCTTCTTAAAATGAAAACAGGTGGGCATTGAACAATATATTTTTTCAATAGTGCTAAAAGACTGTAATTTATAAATATTATTCAATCCCTCCTAAAACTTATACTGTGTGTGTGTCTATGAGGCTTTTATTTTTCTTAATCCATTTAACTTTTTCACCCAGCCCCCCTACTTGCTCCCTCTGACAGCTGTCAGTCTATTCTCTGTATCTATGAGTCTGTTTCTATTTTGTTTGTTAGCTTGTTTTGTTCATTAGATTCTACATGTGAGTGAAATCATATGGTATTTGTCTTTCTCTGAGTGGCTTATTTCACTTAGTATAATGCTCTCCGGGTCCATCCATGATGTCACAATGGGTAAAATTTCCTTTTATTTACAGTTGAGTAGTAGTCCATTGTCTAAAACTTATATTCTATCATTGATGTCACTACCTATTATTATTATGAGCACCAATGACATACTCTAAGTAAAATACAGGGGATGTTGCCTAGGACAAAATAAAAGGCAATCAAAATGTTATTACTCCTACCCTACACAGCTATACAACATCTTACATTTTTGTAAGTGTCTTTCATCAATTGGTACTAAGACTTCAATTTTTTAATCCACCACAAAGGAATTTTGCTACATTTCTTTGAATGTCAAACATGTTGGACTATATATTACATTATCAAATGCACCTTATGTTCTAGGAAAATCTACTTTTAAATTTGGTATGATGAAAGCTTTTTTCTGAACATATATGTATATATGTTGTATATGCATACATATATATGTATACATATATGCATGCATATGGATATACATGTGTGTGTGTATATATATATATACATATATACATACATATATATGTATATATGTATGTATATATATATAGCTTTGGCTGCCTGGAAATGTAGAAAATTTATAATTCAATCCATGACTTATTCTGATGTTTTTTCTGACATTGTTCTTTATCACTCCTGTTTCTCTTTTATTTTTAGCTTTTAGTTTTTACAAAATTTGTTATATGCATTATATCAGCCACTTTAGCCATTTTGATAAGTGGTCTAAAATTATTTTTGGATAAAAACGGGGTACAACGATGAGTTGAAATTAATTAATCATATTATGTTTGTATGTAAAAACGAGTGATGAAATGTTTTTAATAACTTCTCAAATTCGTTGTGATTAAGACTCCCAAGTGCTGATAGTGACAGTGTAAGACAGGCTCCTCATCTCACACAACACACAAGCCCTCCTTTACCCCACCAGAGTGAGAAGGTGAACCCCACCGAGTTATCACATAGCCACAGGTGCACACCTGAAGTCATTGAAATCCAAGGCTGTCATCGTTTCCAGGATAGAAAACTGCTCTACCAGTAGTTTAAGGATCACCACCACTCGATGCATTCGCGTAACAATCTTAAGCATATTCCTTTCATCCCTGACCTGGTAATTAAGAAATGAGACACTGAGAAATCAATTCTGATGTTTAGAAATTACAAAATAGACTACAAACAATAGTACATTCCTATGAACTTTATCTTTACTTCAGAAAGGAACATTGGAAGTATAATTCTGTGGATAGTGAACTAATGGTAACTGAATTGTTTGCAAGGAATGTCTGCAAAATCAGAATCACATATCTTTCTTTAAAAATAGAAAATCACAGCCCAGCCAGCATGGCTCAGTGGTTGAGCATCCACCTATGAACCAGGAGGTCTCAGTTGGATTCCAGGTCAGGGCACATGCCTAGGTTGCGGGTTTGATCCCCAGTGTGGGGCATGCAGGAGGCAGCCGATCAATGATTCTCTCTTATTATTGATGTTTCTTTCTCTCCCTCTCCCTCTCTGAAATCAATTTTTTAAAATAGAAAATTACATGAAGGCAAGTTAGAAGTAAATTCTGGAGATCAACATCCACTCATTTTAAAGCAAGTTTCTATGTTTGCTTCAAGGAATAAAGGTAAGCATGGCAACTTCTGGGTGAGGATGAAGCAACACCAGAATAAATCTGCTCTTTACTGAGGGACAAAGTTGACAATGGCATAAAAGGAAATTGCAAGCACATATAGAAGAGGTTTGTTTGTGTCTGACTGCTCTCTTTCCCCGGCCCCTTCTGAGTGCTTAAGGCTATGCCCTGTGTCTGGGAGGCTGGTGGGAGCAGGGAGCAGGGCGGGAGGCAGGAGAACACAGTTCAGGCTCTGCCGTCACCGGCGGTTCCACTGTTAGCACTCTTTTCTTTGTTTCTTTCTCCTGCTACTATTTTTTTTTTTACCTTTTCCTGTTTACTTTCTTCATTATTGTTCCTATCTTCCCACAGCAAATATTCATTAGAAATACAACTCAGGTACTTATTCATTAAAGGTAGATTGCCAGCTATTCTACCATCAGCTAAAACAACTATTCTCAGTGGCAAGAAAAATTAATAATAAGTGAGTTCTAAATACTGTAAGGGGCTTGGAACTGAAATTTGAAAGGAACTTGAATGAAATGTGAAGCTCTAGGGTAGCAATGGCATTGGGAAAATATGACTAAGCTCTTGTCCACTGGGGGGAAAATTTTTTTTCAGTAAGTAATAACCACCATTTGGTGTTAAATTTTTCCTCATTAGTAATATTTTTTACATTCTCCAAAAATAGCCTGGAACCAATATTATGATATAACAACTCACATGGCCATTCTGAAAGATCTCACAAACAGAATCTAATTCCCAGAGGATTTGCTTAAACCAGAGTTCATAAGCTGCAATGAAAAAAACACATTGTCAGTTGGAAAGTTTTGGGAGCCTCTTTGACCATAATTATATAAAAGACATGGTTAACACATTGGAAGAAATAAAAATATAATTTAAAAATCAAGAAATACCCATATAGCCTTATTTTATGCTACAACAAAATATTAGTGATAAATGTATAATAGCCTCAATTTATTGACTGTTTTAATATGCTATGCATATTATCAATATGCTTTGTGGTTGTTAATATTATTATACTGATTTCTCTCAACAAAGTCTTTTTAAGTCTTTTTAGGATATAGCACATGATCTAATTCTACAGTCCCCTTGGAAGATGGAGGTATGCAGAGAAGCAAAAGTGACACTCAACTTCACCTATAAACTGAAATATCAGTATTTACTAATCTGATGAATATGACAAGACATTAGTTTCCAGGGGCTTAGAAAACTGTGAGGATGACAAGTTTATGAACAGTCTAAATCTAAAACTTTCTCTTATTCATCTAGTTCCCTTAGTATCTAGCACAGTGTTGGCATAAGATAAACCCAGGTGATTATTTCATGAATAAATGAATTTAATAACCAATGGAGTTATTAGCTGAGCATAGAAAACCAATAATCTTAGAGATCTCTAGTGCATTCTGCCTGGTGCTATCGTATGGCTGCAGGCTATGTTTCTGCACTAATTAGGGGAATCAAATTATATTTTAAATCACATTTCAGGATACTATTGGAATTTAATTTTCATAGTTGGACAAGGTGCAAAGCAGATATTTCCTTGATCAGTTTATGTAACCACAAAATTTATTTGGTGTTAAATTTTTCTCATTTTAGGTTTAGCTTTCTGTGGTTTGCCCCATGATTCACTGATAATGTTTTGTAACTGAAGGAGGAAAGGAAAGGCTCCCTCTTCAGATAACGATAGCTACCATTTGCTGTATGTTTATAATGTGCTATACCTTGGGCTAAGTGCTCAATGTGCATTACCTCATTTCATCTTCACAAGAACTCTATGATTGATAAAATACAACAACTTTCTCCATTTTACACATGGGGAAATGGAAAGAGTTACTGGTTAAGGGACCTGGCCAAGCTTTCCCAATTTATAACAGTAGAGATGGGATTCTAAACAATTTTCTGATTCCAAATTTGTGCTATCCTGCCATGATTTCCCCCCTATTGAGCTTGTCTTTGGATAAGCCACCAATACAAATTACGTAAATTAGTTTCTGTTTTTACTTTTTACTCAAAGGAGTGAATCATTTTAGCCAGTCAATGAAGCAAACAACCATTTGTGGAAAGACACACAAAGAATTGGTAAGCAAAGAAAATATGTCTAGAAATGGACCAATGACTAGCTTGGGTCATTGGGTCCTGGACAATCAGAGGACAGTATTAGGACACCAACAATTTTAGAGTAAATCTTAATACTTTGGGGTCACAGACTCTTTAAGACACATTCACAAAGTTTTGCACTCAATTTCAGAGTTCAGAGACTTTCTAAACTCTCAAAGTCATGGACTCCTACATGAAAAACTACTGCTCATGTTTTACCACTACAGCCACTAACCTGGACCCGCCTCCAGTTATTCCCTCTCAAGGTGTTCTTCTGGGGCATCGTATAAACCTTGAACTCTATCTCCCAGTCAATGTGCCACAGATATTCTCCATGCAGGTGGGAGCAGTGGGTCTCTTGGGAAGAGGATTGGAGAGTCTAGTGGGACAATCCTTTATTCCATCATCAGTGCCTGCAACCTTTGCACCTTCACCTACTCCTGCTATGATCAGCAAGTGGTCTCAATGATCTATAGTAAATCCTCAATTTTGCAGACCTCAATTTAACAGACTGGACTTCAGATTTAACAGACAAAATTTTCAGCCTGTATGTCATATGAAAAAATTACTACTCTGTTATTTTTTAAATGCTTTTAGCCAAGATTTGCTTATAGTTAAATTAACAGGTTTTTTTTTTTGTTATTAATCCATTGTTATTTTTAACAAATTTTAGTGAATAGGCCATATTTTGGGGAAAAAACCTGTAGTAATTTTGCAGACATAAATAAATATTGCATATCTAAAACTATAGTCTACATATTGAAATCCAAGAGTCACCGCTTATAAATAATGTTCACTGAATGACTAACACATGATCACACCCCGTCAGGCATGATGATTGGTTATGTTATCACCTGATGTGATTTTCTGCAGCAATTTAACATCTGCGGCAGATGTTCCCACATGTGCTCAGCCACTCCCCAGTCTGTGCATACACATTTACTAGATCTATTCAGTATACATTTCAAATTACAGTAACACATAGAGAAAACTTTTCTTTGAAATTAAACTTTTCATATATAATTAATTTTAATTCCACAAATATATATATATATATATATATATATATATATATATATATATATATATGGTCATTACAACCGAACAACCAGAATGACCAGTTGACCAGTCACTATGACACACATGACCGCCAGGGGGCAGACGCTCAACACAGGAGCTGCCCTCTGGTGGTCAGTGAGTTCCCACAGCCAATCAGGCCAGCCCCGATTGGGACTGGGTGAGATGGCCCCTATAAGCCCTGATCACTGGCCAGGCCTAGGGACCCCACCCATGCATGAATTTCATGCACCAGGCCTCTAGTGTCTACATAAGTAAAAACAGGTAAGCTAACTAATTTGTCAAATTTTTAACATTCAGAAAACCACTTCATTATAAAACAGACTTTCAGCTTTAACGGACTACCCCTTGCTGGAATTATTTCGTTATATCAAGGTTTTACTGTATTTGAACTCTCTACAGCAGCCGTGGGCAAACTACGGCCCGCGGGCCGGTTCCGGCCCATTTGAAATGAATAAAACTAAAAAAAAAGACCATACCCTTTTATGTAATGATGTTTACTTTGAATTTATATTAGTTCACACAAACACTCCATCCATGCTTTTGTTCCGGCCCTCCGGTCCAGTTTAAGAACCCATTGTGGCCCTCGAGTCAAAGAGTTTGCCCACCCCTGCTCTACAGGGATTAGCATGGCGCCTGCTGGCTCCTAAGGCTGTTTGGCTGGGATTGGCATGGCAACTGCTGACTCCTAAGGCTGTTTGGCTGCCTGAACTAGAGGCTAAACTTGGCTTGGAGATTTCTGAAACATGTACACATCACCAAGGACACATCTATTGGGAAATGAGCTTCACCAACAGAGCTCTACAGCACATGAGACGGCAATCTAGTTTAACGAGAACAGCTTTGGTGTTGTCCCCAGCTCTCCTCTGGCCATCCGGACACCAATGATGCCAGACCAGAGCATTGATGTCTCCCTGCCTCTCAGTAACGGGCCCAGTCATGAATACAGAGCCTCTGAGTGACCTGCAGGTGACTGTGCAAAACAATATTGATGTCTCCTTGTTAAGCTGCCTCATCCCACGCAACGTCTTTCTATAGAAGATGGCAAAAGAGAGCTCCAGGTCTTTCTTGAAACATGAAAGGATACTCCCAATAAAAATGAACTTCAGTTTCAGATTAAGGAATGCCATTTAATTGCTGACACTGTTGCCAGCAAGTTGTAAAACAACTATTGTAAAGAGAATTGTGAAAGGGAGGACAGGACATGCTGTGTCAATCTCTGATGCTCACTAATGGCATTTGGATCTTGACTAAGCTAAGTATCAGCCAGGATATGCCAAACAAATGCAATCACTGAAGTGAAGAGCTGCTGAAGTCTCTCAATACATCTAGACTGGTCCAGTGCCATCAGTTCAAATCAGTGCCTCTTAAATGGAAGGAAGTGTAAAATCTGAACCCAAATATACTGAGGCTACCCACCAAGGTAGTGACTAGTCTAACCTGTGCTAAAATCAGGGCACAACCTGTCAGATAGTTTTAGCTTCCTGTGAAGGTTTGTAGCCACAGCTTCAATCACTTCCCACCTCTTGCCACCTGCTGCTGCTATCTGTCCTTACTGTGAGCATCTCTGTACTGGGTCAATGCAGTTTGACATTTTGTAACTGGGGGCTCATTTCAAAAGCAGAAAAAGACAACAAATATTTAATTAAGGAACAGTATCCCTGAAACATTAAAAAAGGATATAAAACACTGCCCAGAGGTTTTAAGTCTGATAAGGATAAACACACATTTTCAACAAAATTTACATTTTTATTAAGTACCAGATTTATATGGGAGTATGTGAAGTCACAATAAATTTGAGTGCTCTATTTCTTGAAAGAATTTTTTTTTAACTTCCAAGTTGAAAACATAGTAAGATCTTACTTAAAAATTATTTTTCAATTCCAAGATAAATGTTTCCTTGGACATAGGACAAAGCTCAAAGTTCAACCTGATCCAACTAGCAGGGAAGTAACATAAAGAAGACGTACAAATCCCAGGAAGTCCTATGAGAACTGATCTGACAGTAAAATATTGTTGAGCATTTCTAACAAATGTGATTCCTTGATCTTTAACCATTTTACAGTTAAAAGAATTGTTGCTCTCCTCATTATTGATGGGAAATACCTGTGGAATAGTTATTGTCCAAACTTTTGTACAACTTACCTTGATGAGTTATGATGAAAAGGTGTTCATCATGGATTTTATTTCCTTTTAGTTCACTTTGAAGCTCCTGTGCATTCAAAATTTTTTCCAACTTTAAACAAAAAAATAAATAAATAAACACCTGATTTTATACAAACTTCCAGCTATAAGATAAATGAGTTATGGGGATCTAATGTATAACACAGTGATCACATTAATAACACCGTATTATATATATGAAAGGTACTAAAAGAGTAGATCTTAAATGTTCTTACCACACACCAAAAAATGACAATGATCCTATCTAATAAAGAGGGAATATGTTAATTGATCCTCACACCATGGCAAAGATGGCAGTGCCCACAGCCAATAAGGAGGGAATATGCTAATTGACTGTCCTGCCCTCAAAGATGACGGCCCCCACAGCCACAAGATGGCAGCTCCGAGTCCCCTCTGCCTGCTGGGGCAGCAGGCATACGGCAAGGCCAGGCCCGCCCCCAGATGGGCCTGGCCTTGCCTCACACCTGCCTCCAGAGTCCCCCATTCCTCTCAGCCCCCAAGCCGCCCAGGGCCACCCGAAGCTCAGACAGCCAGGGCTTCCCGAGGCTCAGACAACCAGGGCTGGCTGAGGCTCGCGCTGCCAGCAGTGGCAGCAGCAGAGGTGTGATGAGGGCATTGCCTTCTCCTGATCACTGGGTCAGCTCCAGCCCTGAGGGCTCCCGGACTGTGAGAGGGGGCAGGCTGGGTTGAGGGACCCCCCTCTAGTGCATGAATGTTCATGAACTAGGCCTCTAGTCCATCTAATAAGAGGTAATATGCAAATTGACCATAACCCCAACACACAAGATGGCCGCCCCATGTGGTCAAAGATGGCCACCCCCATGTGAACACAAGATGGCCACCACAAGATGGCCTGCAGGGGAGGCAGTTTTGGGGGGGGAGGCCTGCAGAGGAGGGCAGTTAGGGGTGACCAGGCCAGCAGAAAAGGGCAGTTGGGAGCAATCAGGCAGGCAGGCAGGCAAGCAGTTGGGAGCCAGCAGTCCTGGATTGTGAGAGGGATCCCAGATTGAAGAGGGTGCAGGCTGGGCTGAGGGACACACACCCCTGCCCTGTGCATGAATTTCATGCACCGGGCCTCTAGTATGACATAATAGCATGTTAGCTAAATGTTACACCAGTAATCATACAGAAATATATAAAGGTATCAAATCAACAGGTTGTGCACAATGTTATATAACAATTCTTGCACAATGTTATATAACAATCACAGCTCAATAAAACTAAAAAAGTGACTGATTTTGAAATTGCAAAAGTTTTTTTTTTATCAACTTTTATACAAAGTAGAATACAATACTGAAAAAATCCCCAAATTCTCAAATTCTCAGGATCTATTCTATGTACTTTTAAAAAATTAATGAGTCTTATTTTAAATAAACAGTATGTTGAATTTATGGTTTTTACTTTTTCTGAAGAATATTATATTTGGTAGGATTCCATGATAACAAATGCTCTCACACTCACTGAGAAGTCATTGTTCTTTGTATCTCTTAAAATGAGTATGATAAAAGCTTGTCAAGTTGCTTAGCTGACTGTGTGTCTTCCATTATTCTATTTCCCTAAAGAGCCTGTTTGAATAAGATTTTAACATGCTTGATCAGCTTATCCTTAGAAACCCATAGATGCAGGCACCCAGAACTCTAACTATTTCACTTCTTAAACAACATAGAAGGCAAACAAGCTGAAACATACCTCGGAATAATCTCCAATGCAAGGGCCTTTAACATTTCTATTTTTTAAAAGGGGATTTAAAAGAGAAATTTTTCTGGAATCATTTGTAATTACCTAGGCTAGGATTTAGTGAAGTTGTCTTATCTATACAAGTTGTACAATGCCTGCCAATTACCTGCACTAATCTGACCATTTATACTCTTTCGCCCAGATTTTGGGTTCTCTGCTGGATTTTCATATGAGTCTCTTGAATTGTTCTAATAAAGTTGAGAAAGCATAAATTTATATGGAAATGGATATCATTAGGTCCAGAAAACTATTTGATGAGTGAGAGAAAAAAAAAACAACTAGACAAATATATGCCCAACAATGGAAACTAAACACTGTAAGATACTCGGCCACTTACATGCAGATAATTCCCATAGATAAGTCCTCCTTTGCTGGCTTTATTTACACCAGCTTGTGATTTGTCTTCTTCATTGCCTTCTAAAGATAGTTTTCTGAAATCATATCTGCAGATTAAATATGGGATGAGAAATAAACAGATCTCGAGAAAGCACAATAACTAATAATATGAGTCATTAAAATTCTCTTATTGCTATTTTTGAAAGCATATTAACAAGGGAATAAGGGTGACAGTTTTCAATGTTCTTGAAATTCAGAAAATAAAGTGTTCATACTTAACATTTTTAAGAGCCCAACCATATTTAGAATAGAGATAAATACTTACTCAAAGTCATTTCTTAAGAATGGGCAGCCACTCATGGTGAAAACACACTGCTTGAGAAGCACAGAGGTGTTGGCTCTAAATGAACAGATTGATCTTCCCAGATGTTCTGCTGCCTTTTATTTATCCTGATCAGCCTGAACCTGCCAATCAGCTTTCTCTATTTCCTCTTACTAGACTCTCATTTCCATTGGTTCGGAAGTTGAAACTCTGTAAACTTCAGAATGCAGTTGGTTTACTAGAATAGTGAGTATTCTGCCCAACTGAATCATTTCACTTGATCAGTTCTGTTTTTATATCCCAAATAACAAACACTAAATAAATCAATAGAAGTCAAGTTAAAAAAAAAAAAAGACAAGAAAAAGATTTTTAACTATTCTACTCCCAGGACACATTGGGCATAGTGTTAAGACATGTAAGATGATGAGCTTGTAAATAAACAAATATTTACTCTCTCAGTCTTAGGTATGGATATTCTAATAAGTCATAAGGCAAAAACTAAACTTGGATGTCTCTGGGGAAAGAAAATCATTAGTGAACAGAGGCAGGGTACATGCTCAAACCCCATTTACTTCTCATCTTCACAGTCCTTCTGGCCTAAATCTCATAATTAGCAGTAGTTGTGGGCTGCTCTATTATATTGGAACTTAAACAGACATGACTGGTTTATTATTCACCTGTGGCATCCCAATTACAGGGCATTGGAGTCATCCACATTGGGATGCTTTGTCTCTAGATAAAAACAATAACATGCCCACAATTTAAAACAGTGTCAGTGATAAAATATTCTTCATGGAAAATATTACTTATTAGTTTAAGTTCTTTTGAGGACCATTCAGCCGGGGCAGAAAGCCCCATACCATGCCCTTAGTACACCACTGCTAAGAATCTAAAGACAGCATTTCTCATTATTTGACCCTCTAAAATGGTCGATTTATGTCTAATTTACCAAAGTAATTAAAGGCCAGAAACTTTATCTAGTCTTGGCTCTACCAATAAATAATTGTGTGACATTTTTAAAAAAAGGACAATGTGACTTCTATACATACCAACTTTCTCACACACAAAAAAAAATGAAGATGCTTAAAATTTATTGTAATTTCAAAGATCCTAGTCCATCCTAAAATCCTGATTTTGTGACTCTAAAATAAATTATAATGTTTAATGCGGATTTACAGAAGGGTATACGGCATGAAGGCCATGTTATAAGAGAACTGGGAACTAATCAAACTCACATAGTAGACCTGTCATGTTCCATGTGAGTTTTTATAGGACACTCTGACAATTGCTTACTGTGGGAAACTCACTGTAGGGATGCTATATAGTTCCAGTGGCGAAGGTGTTAGGGAGATGTTAAGCTAGCTGTGACTTTTGAACTCTTTGTGGCTGTGTAACCCTCTGTAAACTTTCATTTGGCAAACTACTCAAAAAATCAGAATGTCACACCAGGACAAATGTCATGTCCTCTGGAAGTTAGTGAACACAGAGAGTGTAATAACTGCCTGATGTTACCTTTTAACTTTGCTCGTAACATTGTCCTCTCAAGAGGTTTACGTAACAACCTGCCATTTGGTTTTGCCATTAACCCCTGTTATTAAACCCCTTTAAAAAGGAACTCTGTCCTAGGAGGGGTATAGAGTCTTCCTGGCCTGCCACCACTGGGAACTCCTGCTTTGCCCATGTATATAAGTTTCTCCTATTAAAGCTCTTATAAATTTAAATTAGTCTGGGTGTCAGTTCTTCAAAATCGATCCTGAATTTAGACTTTTGGGACTTTCCCCAAGAACCAGTGCTGTGAGCAAGCAGGATTCTGAAGAACCCACGTAAGCCATAGTCAAAATAGGGGGAAAATGGACTGAGCCAGGGGAAATCCCAGGATGGCCAAGTACGATGCTTTGTGCCAGTTGGCACAACATTGGAGGCTTGGGGACAGGTGTGTGAGGAGCATCGTAAGATGTTCCAAAGATGCCTGCTGGAGTAGCAGATAATGGAAGAGGCTTAAGGTAGATAAAGACAAAAAAGGTATAAAAGCAACAGTGGCTGCTGTGGCCTGGCCTCTCTTGTGTTCTCGGAGGTTCTCCTTGGAAGAGACGCTAGTACTGGCCTCTAGGAATTGCCATTTGGAAGATGACCTACATTTGGAAAGGGAAACTCACATGGCACAGGCAGCTGCTACTGAAGGGTTCTCACAATGTTGGCGGGTAGTATCAGAAAGACAGCATCGCTTACCTGGGGCACATGCCGAGATCACTGATTCAGTTAAAGAGCTAAACAGATCAGACGTAATTTGTCCCACCCATAGTCCTTTTCACAGACAGCCCTGTCTGGCCAATCTGTAAGTCAAATGGATCATGGAGAATGACATTGGACTACTGGGAGCTTAATAAAGTAGTTCCTCCAATCCATGCTGCAGTTCTAATATCACCCAATTATTAAATGAAGTAAGCAAATCCGTAAGAACCTATCATTTTGTATTAGACCTGGCTAATGCCTTACTCAGTATTTCTATGGACATGCAAAGTCAAGATCAGTTCACCTTCAGATGGAACAGAGAACACTGGATGTTTTAGGTTCTGCCACCAGGCTATCTGCATAGCCCCACCATTTGTCATGGTTTAATAGTGAAAGATATATCTGTATGGAATGGTGGGGAAGAGGTGGCATTGCATCATGGTATTGCTTACATTACACTAACTGGTAATGATCGTACCATTTTACATAAGAGGGCAGAGTGTCTACTGCAGTGGTCGGCAAACTGCGGCTCACAAGCCACATGCAGCTCTTTGGCCCCTTGAGTGTGGCTCTTCCACAAAATACCACATGTGGGCACGCAAATACAGTGCGATTGAAACTTCGTGGCCCATGCGCAGAAGTCAGTATTTTGTGGAAGAGCCACACTCAAGGGGCCAAAGAGCCGCGTGTGGCTTGCGAGCCATAGTTTTCCAAACACTGGTCTACTGGAGCACCCAGAAAGACAGACATGGGCCATAAATTGCACAAGGTGCAAGAGTCCAGGTCCTCTGTCATTGGGGGGTTGTCTGGTATAGTAAGACATAAGTTATTCCCACTGCTGTGCTGGATAAGATATTCAAAATTATTCTATGCCAGAAACAGCAAAACAATTGCAAACATTTTTGGAATTGCTTGGATATTGAAGGCCTTTTATTCCCCCATCTAGCTCAGCTCTTACCTCCCTTATACAGATTAGTAAAGAAATGAACAATGTGGGATTGGTGACAAGAGCACACTAATGCCTTTACTAGTGCAAAGGTGGCAGCAAACAAACACAAAAATTAGGGATGGGGGTATGAATTCAACCAACCCTTGTAAATTAAATGTTTCTGTTTATCCAAAGGGCTTTGGGTGGGGCTTATGGCAAAAGCAAGATGAGAGGAAGGTGCCCCTAGGTTTCTGGTCCCAATTATGAAGAAAGATATAGTCCTATGGAAAGACAAGGCTTGGCAGTGTACATTAGTCTACAGCAATGATTGCGAACCTATGACACGTGTGTCAAAGGTGACACGTGAACTCATTTTTTTGGTTGATTTTTCTTTGTTAAATGGCATTTAAATATATAACATAAATATCAAAAATGTAAGTCTTTGTTTTACTATGGTTGCAAATATCAAAAAAATTTCTATATGTGACAAGGCACCAGAGTTAAGTTAGGGTTTTTCAAAATGCTGACATGCCGAGCTCAAAAGGTTCGCCATCACTGGTCTACAGCATGTAAAGAGTATCACAAAAGCCCTGCAGTGATGCTAAAGACACAGTACTCCATTGCTAGATGAATCTGGGAATTTTCCACACCCCAACTGGGGGTGGCCCAGCTCACTACCCTATATAAGTAGTATGCATATTTGCAGCAACGATGTACTATATTGACCAGTCCACATAGTACTGAGCTGCATGCCCTCATGGGCCCAGTCACATATATTAGTGAAGTGCCTGAAAACACTAACATGGGCCCATGGACACATATTAAGGAAGGTCAAGTTACAGTCCCCATGACTGCATGGTACACAAATGGGTCTGCTAAGGATAATCCACGCTGTTGAACCACAGTAACATTACAGCCAAATACAAACACTTTATGCCTGGATAGAGAAAGACAACAGTCAATGGGTTGATCTGCAAGCAGCTTGGATGATACTGACACATAAACCAAGCCCTGTCACTTTGATAACTGACAATCAGGCTGTCTATAAAGGCCTCACTTTGTGGATGGGGCAATGGAAAAAGAACAGCTAAGAAGTTTAATAGTGCCCACTTTAGAAAGCTGAAATGTGGAATGAGACCTGGGAAAAGACAAAAGGCATCTAGATCACTGTGAACCCTGTACTGGCCCACAGTGTTGAGTTGACCTCAGGGAAATCAGAAGATGGATCAGTAGGCCCAGGTCCAAAAGATAGAGAAGAACAGATACCTTCAAGAATTGCCCTATTGGTTACATAAAAAGTCTGGCACAGCCTGGCTTGCATGGCTCATTGGTTGAGCGTTGACCTATGAAGCGGGAAGTCATGGTTCAATACCTGATTGGGGCACATGCCAGAGTTGCATTCTCGATCTCAAGTAAGGGGCATGCGAGAGGCAGCCAATCAATGATTCTCTCTCATCATTGATGTTTCTTTCTCTCTCTCCCTTCCTCTCTGAAATCAGTAAAAATATATATTTTTTTAAAAAGACTGGGCACAAATAGTTGGGCATGAACCTCACCCATATTAAGAGGACAAGCCAGGAGTGTGCTCCTTGTTCTCTGGAACACACACACACACACACACACACACACACACACACACACACAGAAGCTACCATGACATTTAGAACAAATAGCAAGAGCCAAAACATTGGCCATGAGATGGCAAATGGATTACATCAAGCCCTCCCAGCTGTCTCAGAACAGCAAATACACTTTGACATGCGTCAACACTGCCACTGGCCTATTGCAAGCATAAGAAAGCAACCCAGAAGGCTACCATACAGGGATTTAGACAATTGTGTGCTACGCACAAATAGCCAGGGACATCAACAGTGACCAAGGGACTGATTTAACTGATCACTAGGTGCGGGAATGGGACAATGACGACAATGTAATATGACACTGCCTTCTGTGCTATCATCCTAAAGCTACTAGGTTGATTAAAAAGTTAAACAAACTATTAAAACAGAGACTGCAATGAAAAACCCACTTTTTAAAGGGGTGGATACATAGGTTGCCTGAAGTTCCGATGGAACAGCTACGCCACACAAGCATGTTCTGTGTATATCAT